GTGAGGGGTCCCCGACCCACACCAGGTGCCCAGCTCAGGATTCCAGTGCCAGGAAGAGAAGTCCCCATCACTTTTGGCTGTAAAACCAGCAGGAACTGAGGCTGAAGGAGGCTGAGGCTGCTGGAGCCCCAGACAGCTCCTCTTAAAGGGCCTGCGCAGGGACTTACTCAGACTTGCTTCCACTAAGCTCAGAGGGGAAGCAGCTTGAAAGGCACCAGACCTGCAGGGAAGAGCTGAACTGTTTGGCTTCAGGACGAGGGTTAGAGAGGCTGCTTTCTTTCAGACAGACATGCCGGTGGATGCCTTAGTTCCTTTGGTGAGCCCTTCCCCGGGGTGGCAGACGTGTGCCGTATCTGGGACTCCACCAACCTGGCTCACACTGTTGGCCCCGCCCTGGTGATTCTCTGAAGCCCCGCCCCTCCCAACTTTTAGGCCCACCCAAGCTGTTTCCAAAGGCTTTACCATAGGATTGGCCTGTCTTGGATCCTGCTTCAGTTTCCTAAAATTTCTCAAACAAGCAGCATCTGGCCTCAGTGAGCCCCATACCTCCCACTAAGTGGCCCCAGCCTTGGTTCACAACTTTGGCTTTTCCTGGGCACCTCCAAGCCCAGTACAAGAAGCAGCCATTGGCAGATCACTTTGTAGCTTATGCCGAGTGGCCCCGGGTAGAACACAGGCAGTGGCTGACCTTGCCCCAGAGCCAGCACACCCAGTGGACAGCTTCAAACCATGATGAAGCACTACCACCCAACCACCTCCACAAGTGACACACTCAATGAGTGGACTCAGTAGGTACCAGAGCCCTGATGAAGTAAGTCTTTCTTTGTGTGGTAGGCCCCTACACAGCTGATCCTCCAAGGCAGTCAGAGGCCAGAGGTCAGCAGGTACAGCCAGTCCTTGCAGCTGATCAGTCTGATTAAATCCTTCCTATTGATGTGCCAACAGCAATCAAGACTCAATTAAAACAGAAGGGTGTACGGTCCACACTAGGGATGCACCTTGAGGCCCAGCTGGGGTGGTCAGGGAGGCTGTACAACTGGATCCTACAGGACACCTACAATAATAGGCCACCCTATGAAGCCTAAGAGACATAGCAACTCTACCGAATACATAGAAACAATCACAGGGAAGCAGCCAAAACGAGGAGACAAAGAAACATGTCCCAAATGAAGGAACAGAACAAAACTCCAGGAAAAGAACTAAACAAAATGGAGATAAGCAGTCAATCAGATGCAGAGCTCAAAACACTGGTTATAAGGTTGTTCAAGAAATTTGGTGAGACATTCAAGGAACTTAGTGAAACCTCCAAGGAACTTAGTGAGAACATCAACAACATAAAAAAGGACCAGTCAGAAATGAAGGATGCACTAACTGAAATAAAGAAGTTACAGGGAATCAATAGTAAAGTAGGTAAACCCAAGAAGCAAACCATCAATTTGGAATATAAGGAAGCAAAAAATACCCAAGCAGATCAGCAAAAAGAAAAAAGAATCCAAAAAAATGAGGATAGTATAAGGAGCCTCTGGGACAATTCAAGCGTGCCAACATTCACATCATAGGGGTGCCAGAAGGAGAAGAGAGAGAGCAAGAAATTGAAAATATATTTGAAACAATAATGACAGAAAACTTCCCTAACTTGGTGAAGGAAACAGACATACAAGTCCAGGAAGCACAGAGTCCCAAACAAAATGAACCCGAAGAGGTCCACACTAAGACACATCATCATCAAAATGCCAAAGGTTAAAGACAAAGAGAGAATCTGAAAAGCAGTCTGTTACATACAAAGGAGCTCCCATAAGACTGTCAGATGATTTCTCAAAAGAACCTTCGCAGGCCAGAAAGGAGTGGCAAGAGATATTCAAGGTGATGAAAAGCAACGACCTACAACCAAGATTACTCTATCCTGTAAAGCTATCATTTAGAATAGATGGACATATCAAGAGTTTCCCAGACAAGAAAAAGCTAAAGGAGTTCATCACCACCAAACCAGTATTACATGAAATGTTGAAGGATCTTCTTGAAGGAGAAGAACAAAACTATGAACAATAAAATGGCAATTAATACATATCAACAATAGAATCTACAAACAAAATGAGCAAGCAGAACAGAAACAGACTCATAGATACAGAGAACTTTTTGTTGCTTGCCAAATGGATGGCAAAGATGGATGAAAAAGATGAAGAAATTAAGAAGTACAAATTTGTTGTTAGACTGATGAACCTCAAAGGGAAGGGGGGAAAGAGGGTGGGATGAGATAAACTGAAGAACATCTACATATATATGCATAACCAATGGACATTGACAATAGTGTGGGGATGGCAGGAGGGGGGTGGGATTGGGGAGGATGGGGTCAATGGGGAAATAAAGGGGGGACATCTGTAATACAGTCAACAATAAAGATGAGTTTTAAAAAAAAATAAAACATTTTTAAAAAAGAATTTGTTCTTTTAGAAGAAAGTTATTGCCTAAAGGCACTAAGGATTCATTAAGACTCACGGAGTAGGCAGACAACTCTGGTGGGGAGGGTAATGGTGGGATGGAGGGATTAAGCAAAAAAGAAAGAGAAAGAAAGAACTCATAAACATGGACAACATGGGGTGATTGAGGTGGGGTGGATAGAGGTGGAGGAGGTTACAGGGGGGATAAATGGTGATGGAAAAAAATTAAAGAGAAAAAAAGATATCATACAGTCTTTTAACAATAACATCCAGAAATAACAGTTTCATTTTAATAATCTAAGAATGGGATTTCAGACCAGGAATCAAGAGCTGAGTAGATTCAATCTATAAAATGAATAGGGCCTCACTTCCTTAAGGCTCTTTCTGCTGCAGCAAGATACCCCAAATAAAGATAGCATCCCTCTGTAGAAGCCATTTCATCAAGACTGCAATATTTATTTTCATTTAGATCTAGGGGTGGGTGGGTACTGAGTGGTGCTCTTCATTTTTGTAGGTAAGAAAATTGAGGCAATAAGGAATGACTGGCGTCAGACTTACTAAGAAATATGTGACCTTCCTAGACTTGCAATTTCACAACCTCCTCAAAAAGCTCCCCTACATCTCGGTTGGTTTATGAGATGGTTTCAAACACTGCTGGGGATTATGGCTGTAATAACTGTAAAAATGCAAAATCTCTCAGGAAAGCTACAATTTTATCAATCATTCTCTTATAGAGTGAAAGAAGTGCAAGGGGAAGGAAGGAACAGTGTAAGTGTACACTTCATAATTTCTAAGTTCACCCTGGAAAGATCACATATGGAGAAAGGTTTGGGTGATAACAAGAAAAGAGTAGGTATCCACCTCTTCACATGCTGGGTAAACCCGACAAATCCACAGATCCTCCTAGCCATCCAAACGGCATTTTATTTTTTATTTTTATTTTTTAATCCTCACCCGAGGACATTTTTCGATATTTTGTTCAGATAGAGTGGGAGGGAGAGAGAGCGATAGAAGCATCCATGTGAAAGGGACACATCGAGTGGTCGCCACCCACATGACCCAACCAGGGCAGGGACAAACGGAAACCGAGGTACATGCCCTTAGAGGGAACTGAACCTGAGTCTCTCCAGACTGCAGGCCTATGCTCTAACCGCTGAGCAAACCGGCCAGGGCCCAAACGGTATTTTAAAATGACAAGATTATTTAATGTCTTCTTTAAGTTCTGGAAAACTAAAATATCTTCATAGTCTTAGCACCAGGGTCTAAGTGGATTTGATTCACTGCTTTGAGAAATCAATGACTAGGTTGAAACCGTAAAACTACATTTAGTCCACGCCATTGAAGACCTGGCTCAAAGTTGGCTTCTTCCAGGCTGCTTTCCGGGGTTGTCCTCTTCTGAGCCTTGTCAAAGGTTACTCAGCGGCACCACCCTGCTTAATTTGCATGAGGAAAACCATGATGTGAGGTCATTGACTGGTGCTTCACGTGCATGTTCTGTCTTCCTAACTCGATTGTGAGGGAAGGCCTCCCACTATCTAGGAATTCAGTTTATAACCCTTTCAACCCCACCACCTGTTGCTTCTCTCAAAAAACCTATACTTGACTTATTGTCGTCTTCATTTCATAGGTGTGGAAAGAAGCAAACAAAAGAGCAAATTCCATTCGACTAGTTCAGCAGCCTTTGCACAACGAATCTTGTTAAGTCCTCGCAAGAACCTGTGGAGTGGACATCACAACCCCACTTGGAAGCGGAGGTCCCGGCTGTCTCCTCCCAGCATTGTGGGCGAGCGGAGCCCGCGGCCAGGCCCAAAGACGGGTCCGAACGTCTCTCCTCTTCCCGCAGCTGAACACCGGCCTCCGCGGCGGGCTTCGGGCACGGCGAGCCCTTGGCACTGCGGTCGTGACTGGGCTGGGCGACGGCGGTGCCTGGAGGGGCTGCTCCCAAGCAGCTCAATTCAAGGCCTGGGGAGATTTGCGGTAATGATAATAATGAGCACGCCCCCTCGTCACCCCGTCACCTCGACAGTCCAGGCGTGCAGACCCCGAGTCAAGGGCTGAGAGAAGGCCCAGAAGGCTGAGACCCCAGGGCACAGAGCCCAGGAAACTGGAGACCGTCCCACCTTCCCAGGGCGAAGGTTCTGAATTCCGAGCGACCGTTATCATAACGGAACGACGGCTCCAGGTAGCCACCGAGGATGGAGCTAGAGACCAGGGCGGCGCCTCCGCGCTCCCAGGGTTCTGCGCCCCTCGCCAGATCTGATTGGCTGGCGGAGAAAAAGGGCGGGGAGACCCCTGAAGGAGGCGCGCGCAGGCCGGCCAGGGTTTCCCGCGGAGGCACCCAGGGGGCGAAGGGGCGGGAGCAGAAATTGGGGGCGTCGCGCGTGCGCACGTCAGCAGGCGGCGGCTGGGGGCTGCTGGGAGGGCTGGGCAGTTCGAGAAACTGGTGGGCGCCGGAGAGGCCCGCGGTGCGCGTGCGCGTCGGAGTCCGAGCCGCGGGAGGAGGCGGGAGCTGAGGAGGCGGTGGCAGAGGGGGCGGGTCGCGTCGGGCGCCACGTCCGCAGCCAGAGGCCGCTGCCGCCGTCACCGGAGTCTCCCGGCTCCACAGCTTGAGGAGGCGCCCCGCAATCGCCTGGGGCAGTGCCAGCCGATCAGGCCTCCTCAGCTCTTCTTGGTTCTGCTTGCTCCCTCTGCCCAGCCAGGAGGCAGCCCCCAATCCCGGCGGTAAGTCGACCTGGGAGGGTGGGGGACACCGTCCCGGCTTCCTGCCCCCCTCTCTGTCGCCTTCTTCCGTTAGCTCTCCTGCACCTCACCGCCTGCCCCTGCGGGCCTGGCTGCCGCGAGAGGGGCCTTTGGGAGCGCTGAGCAGGAAAGGGGGAGGGGCTGGATGCTGTGGGGCCGACGGAGGTTCGCTGGCGGAGCCCCTCTTCACCTGTCCCTGACTCCTCCGCCGCGCGTTGAGAGTGGGGACTCCCCTCGGGAGCCTCCGCCTGACTTCCCAGCTCCTTGGGTGTGATGCTGGGAGAACGGGGGAGTCATCAGCCTGGGCGAGGAGAGGGATGCAGCAGAGAGGCTGTGTGCTGGGCCCCCGCCCCGCTGACTCCTGACCTGTTGATAAAGCGCCCTGGGGTTCGGGCACACGAGCCGTGGTCTCCAGTGGACATTGCCAGCGCTTTTCCCAGGTAGGAAAGCTCTTACCTCCACGCCTAACCTAAACCTGAAAGTGTGGGGTTGGAGAGAGGCGCTGGCGGCGCTAGGGGGTGACTGGGGACCATTGGAGAACCCATCGGTGGCATCACTGCCTCCCGAGTCTGAATTAAAACCGTGCCTGCTAAGCACACGCAGCTTCGAGACTGGTCCCCAGCTCCCACTTCCAATCAGATGCCCTCTTCTATGTAAGAAGACAGCAGTGTTGGAATCCTATGGGAGTGGGGGTGTCCTGGGTGTACAACGTGGAGCCGAGGGAGGTGCTGAGCGCAGCCGTGGCCACGGTCCTCCAGGGTCATTTTCTGCCTCTCCTGCCACGTCACTCCCTCTGCTAAAGGGGAAAAAAAAAAACCAACTTGCTAGTACCTAAAGGGAACATCAGTGTGGGGAGAAGCGGCCGCCGGGAAATGTTTACTTACACACACCTACAGAAAGGAAAATTTTTATGTGATCTATTACACTGTGCTAATTCCAAATGAAAATATTTACTACCTGTGATTATATGCTATTGTTTAGCCTTTAAAACTTCAAGTGGTGTGGGTGATCTAAAGAACTCCCTAGAAATATTGATGCATCAACAAATACATGCCTGTGTGTGTCCATACCTGTTTTTTGTTTTTAAAGAGGGGGGTGACCTTTAATAAACCCATATGTCTCCTGTTTTTATTTTTTTTACACTTTCATTTCTGTAGTCATTGTTAGAACATGTATCAGAAACCATGTTCATTAAAAATTTGTCTACAGGTAGGCACATCGTTAGAAAAACTTAAAGTAGTTCTATGTGTGTGTTAGATTTTTTTTTAACTACAGGAAAATCTTTACCTTTCTTTGTTTCAGTTTTTGAGTATTTGCTGTTTTGCTACTTCCTGAAGATAGCTCACTGAGTTTTATATATATAAACATTTTCAGAGTAGGGCTTTACATGCTCATTCAGGCTGAAACCCCAGTACCTAATACAGTGTCTGACACACAGTAGGCACACAAGTATCTGTTGAACTAATGAGGTAATAACTTAGTGAAGACGGGTGATATACTGGCTCTCTGGTTTGATAGTGTACTACTGTATTTCTGGTTAAGGGCAACACTTATAAATTGCCATTTTGATACTGTCAGTTGTTACTTGTCACTAGGTAATCACAAGTTTTACTGGCAGATTATTTTTTCTTTCTGGCCAGATTCAGTACATTTCTTGTAGTCTATTTGCTGTTGATTTAATAGGCAAGGCCCATCTTTAAAAGCAGCCTGTGCAGGATAGGTGGTTAGCTAGAGAAGCCTAAAAACAGTAAGCTGGTGTTTTACCAGACACTGCTTGTTGGTGTATGTGTGTTAAAGCTCTGTATAAATCTATATTTGAAACTCCTTATAGTTGTTTGGCAAAGAACTCACCCTCACATGGTAGTGAGGATGTGGCAAAGTTCCTATATATAGACTATGTAGAAGAATTTGGCTAATTCATTTATATTCTTTTTCATATAAGGAAATTAGCACTTACTGTTTAATAATAGGTTTTTGAAGAGGCATTGAAGGTAAACTGTTGTACACTGTATTTTGTAGTAGGCTTTATACAACTTGTTAGTGCTGTTTAGCTTCCTTTGGTGGAGGGGAGGGGTTAGCCACAGGCAAAGTTATGTACTATTTTCAGACTTTGTTCTCATTATTAATGAAAACTTTACATATATGTAAAGTGTTACAGATATCCACAAACAATATTGATTCATCTGTTTTCCTTTAAAAAAGAAAGCTTCGTAAGAGGCATTGTTTACTTATTTCTATTATTGGAAGAAATTATCCTCTAGGGAATAGTGTTATTAATCATTACTCAATATATTTGTAGGCTGCTATAACTATGATACTACTGTACTGGACAAGTCCTTCATATTTCAATTTCTTAAGAAAGCACACACTTATAACCAGTTTTAAGTTGGTATAGTTTGTTCACATGTGAAGACCAAATGGTAAAACTGGTTTGTCCATAAAATACGTTAAATTTTTGTTCTGCCCTAAAGGCTGTTTTCTGTCTTAACTTTCTTTAGAAAAGTACATTTTTAAAAATAGAAACTTTTTTCATTATGGATTCCTAGAGAGCAGATATTTTTTTTTGGATGAAACTAAATTGATAAATTCAGGGAAAGTGTATCCAGACTGGATTGTAAACTCTGGTTGAGAGGATTCCTGTGTGTCCTTAATCACTGAAATCTTCAGTGCCTAAGAGGGTGCCTAGCACATAGTTGGGACTCAAGTGTATGTTGAAGTATGTTTCTGTATAATACTATCTAGATTCCTATATTTCAAACTCTTCTGCCAAAAATACTCCCAACTTAAGAGCAAAGTCATGGGGGAGGTGGGAATGTGGTTGGGCTGGAAGAAAAGAACTAGTAAATCTGAGTATACCCAGCTTTGCTGGCAAGAATGAAATTTCTTGAAAGTCTAGTAATCTTTAAAGATTCCTAAATACTTTTAACTTTTTAATTAGTATATATTAAAAACAAAATAGTATTTTCAGTTACTGTGTAGTAAAATGCATGCATCAGGTCTCTCGGTGTTTCTTGAAGCCCCTGGCATACCATTGCCTAATCTTAAAGATGTGCATTTGAAAAGCATGATTCTAGCTTAAAGTGTTTTGTTTTTTTTTTTTTTAGTAAAAAATCTGGACCATATTTTGGTATGTATTTTCTTTTGTGGTGCTTAAAATGAATGTGGATACAGTCCTGGCTAGTGGGGCTCAGTGGTTGAGCGTTGGCCCTCAAAGGGTCTCTGGTTCAGTTCCCGGTCAAGGGCACGTACCTGGGTTGCAGATTCAATCCCTGGCCCTGGTCAGGGTCTTATCGGAGGCAGTGTTTCTCTCTCTCTCCCTCCCACTCTGTCTAAAAATCAATGGAAAAATATCCTCCGGTGAGGATTAACAACAAGAACAACAAAAGAATGTGGATACAGATGATATTTTTATCCCACTTATTCCACAAATACTTTGTGTCACTTTACAGCAAAAACATGTACTAATAAAATGGTAAGAATATAAGTAAAATATTCAAATTGAAGACCAGGGAAAATAGCAATAAGAGTGAAGTCTCCAGGAGGTGTGGAGTTGGGGGTGGGGAGAATAGGACACAACTATGCAGGCCACAGGAACTTACCTACTTGAGCAGGAATTTTAGCTAGAAGCTTCCTGGAAGCCAAAGGGAAAAGGAGACAACACATCTTTGTATCTTTGTTCAGGAAAGTACATAGATCTCAAAGAGAAGAAAACATGCTAAATATTTTGGGGAAACAAAAGGTTTTATGAATACCTCTAAATAAATTTCTTCTGTAGAGCTCCATGTCAAAGCTAGTGATGTAGGTTAATTCCTTAACAGTGTGGTATAGTTAATGTAGTGATAGCCCACATAAAGCTGTCAGTCAGGGTTTCCTTCCCAAGGACAACCGTGAATAAAACTCGGTGATGTCACTTTCCCCAAATCAGCTTTTTGTGATTGAAGTACATTGTTTTCAGATGATCAACTTGATCTGAGGATGAAAACCTAGAATAACTAAGTAGATGAACTGTATAAGCTTTAAAAATACCTTTATATATATCATTGATTTCTAAGGCTTAAAAATATGTTGTTTTTTTTTGTTTTTTTTTAGTTACAAAAGCAATACCGGTTTATGGGAGAAAATTTAAATATAGGTGTTAAATATGTATTTCTCTCTCTCTAGAAATACTTTGTAGACCTCCATATATATGTGTATGTATGTATGTTTGTGTGTATATGTGTGTGTGTGTGTATAATATTTTCCCCACCCCTTAGTGGCAGTCTGTCAACTCTGGTATACTTCCTTCCAGTCTTTTTATGTGCATTTTTTAAGAAGTTGGATCAATGATGTAGGCCTTTTATATTCTCTAAATGTAACATTAGCATTTCCCCATAGTATTTAATCTTCATAAATTATTTTAATGTCTGCACTGTGTATGTTTTTAGGAAGCTTATAAATTCAACTTTTGCCTTCCATGAGGCTGTACTCATTTGACTATTCATTTTCAGATGTATTTTGTTTTTGTTGGCTTCTCTTTCACTCATCTCTTAAATATGAGCAGTTCAATTACCAGTCTACTTCTGTCTCTTATAACTCTTTTCCTTGATCATATCCACCCCCATCCCCAGCTTCAGCTATCACTTCAAACCACTCTCAAGATCTCAATTTAAACTTCATGCTGAGTTTCAAGCCCTTTAAATCCAATGCCCGCTAAACATCTGTGGATGCCCTGAAGGCATCTCATACACAACTGTTCAAAAACAAATCCTTTCATTATACCTGTAGTCAATAATAATGTATTGTACACTTATTTTTTAGAGGATAGATCTTACGTTAAGTGTTTTTACCACAGTAAAATGCAATTTTAAAAGTCCATCTTTTCTCAGAAATAAATTGTTTCTCCTTGTCTGTCTCATGTCTTTATCACCTGTCTGTTTAGCTGCTCATACTAGAAAAATTACAACATATATTCTTCTTTTATATAACATTAATATTCCAAGTTATGTTCTACTTCATACAATAAAATTCAAGTGCTTGCATGTCCCTGTATCAGGCATTGATTATGGCTCGGGATGGAACAGTGAACAAAATCAAGCCTTGTTCTCATGGTGCTTACCTTCTAATTGGGAGAGACACAAAGTGAACAGATACATATATCAAGTGACAATAAGCACAATGAAGAAGATAGAGCAGGTTTAGGTGATAATGATAGGGAGAGGGGTAGGAGCCTGCTTACCTAGTATAAGGTGGTCAGGGAAGACCTTTGATAAAGGGACATTTGCACAAAGACCGGAAGGAGGTAACTGAGTAAGCCATGCATATATTTTGGCCAAGAGCCTTTCAGGAGAAGGTGAGTAAGGAAGCCCCTGTGTTGCTAGACTGGAATGAGCCTGAGGCAGAATGGTAGGAAATGATATCGGAGTGTTAGAGGAGGGTTAGATATCGGGCCTCAGAGGTGAAGGGATGGGCTCTGGATTTCATTCTAAGAAAAATAGGCAGCAGCAGGAGAGGTTTAAGCAATGTATGACAGGGCTAGACCGAAAGATCTAGCCTTCCAAGGGTGGAGGCTTGGAGACCAGTTAAGAGATTTGTAGTCCAAGTAAGAAAGATTATGATGGCTTAACTGATATTGGTAGCAGTAGAGGTGATGAGTAGTCTTATGCTAGATTTATTTAGGCAACAATATTCAGTGATTAGGTGGGAATGTTAAAAAAGAGGAAATCAAGGGTAACTTCTAAGGTTTTGGACTAAACATTTATTTAGACAGGAAAAACTGGTAGAGTTCAGACTGTTATTCCGTCTCACTGGACTACTAAATTAGTCACTTACTGTATTTAATCTCTTTGTCCTTATCTGTTGTTGCTTCATTTACCTTTTTTTTAAAAAATCCTCACCCAAGGATATTTTTCCATTTATCTTCAGACAGACTGAGAGAGGGAGGGAAGGAGAGAAAGAGAGAGGGGGGGGGAGAGAGAGCGAGAAACATTGATGTGAGAGAGAGACACCGATTGGTTGACTCTCCCACAACCCTGACCAAGGTTGGGATCTAATTGCAACTGAGGTACATGCATTGACCAGAATCAAACCTGCGACTCTTTGGTCAGTGGGCCAATGCTCTAACCACTGAGCAAACCGGCCAGGGCTTCAGTTCGCTTATTAAACCACAGGTCTGACAGTGTTACTCTGCTTATTGCTCCACACTGCCTACCTACAGGAGGATAAAGTCAGTCCATTTGTTATTTAGATGAATTTTCACGTCTTTTATGTCATCATAGTATAAAGCCGTTCTTATCTTTTAAGTGGTGGTCTTTTTCTTTTTTAAATTTAGAAGATCTATGAGGAAAAATTAAGAATATTTAAAAAAGGGATTCTTTATTAGGAAAATGTAAGACTCTTAGTAGGGATTTGTGGGATATATACAGAGGGTAGTTTTGAAATGCATGCAATTACTATCACAACTGTTTTGAAACTCCTGCTAAAATATGTAAGATGTATAATGTGTGTATAATTTCCCCATATTTCTGTACAGGGTATAGTAGCCTCTATTGATTGGTGATCAGGTAATCTGGATTTGTATGTGTATGGTATGCAGATACTGGGATTACAGCAATGAGCAAGCTAGATAAAGTTTCTCTCCTAGGAAAGAATTAAATCTAGTGGGAAGAAGGTAGCTCCAAAATAGTTGTTCTTAGGAAGGGACACATAGATTCTGCCAGGAATTTCTGTGTGCTTTGTTTTGAATTTGTTAAATAGTATTCTAGTAGGGCTAGAATATCTTTAATTTCTATTTTATATTTCCTGAACAAGGATCTGTGAAGTTATTTGTCCTTAGCCATACAGTTTATTGGCAAGTTGGGATTCAGACTCCAGCTCTCAGATCCCAGAACCTTAAATACTGTGCTATATAACTCCTCGTGACCTTACCATGAAGATAAATGAAAGAAATATGAATATGAATGAAAACAAATTTAACATTCTGGTTTAAGAGGGTTTTAAAATTAAGGCAACTCAGCCAAGAACTCCTCCCAGTAATGCAGCTCCTGCTATTCTTTCATTTTTTGTTTTTTTGTCAGAGATTACATGTCTTTACTATTACTTTAAATCTCAAGTGTGTAGAGGATGATGTGCTAAATTCACAAACCAGACCAGCATAAGATTAGGTGTTCTTGATAAGTGACCTGAATCACTACAGCAACTAAAAGATATTTATTTAAGCACTTGACATGCTCCTTGACTCTGTGGGTATTGTGAAGTCCCATCTTACATGGGATTTGGGGTTTAAGGGCACTGCAAGTTGAATTACACAAAGTTAAAATTACCTTTGAAAAATCTCACTTCTCACAACCACTACCTCTACCAGACTCATTTACCACCAACATTTTTGGCCTTAATTATTGAACTATCGAAGGAAATATGGATGAATTTTGATCTGATCATCTGGTGCTTCAAAAACATTAGGAATCATTAAGGAAAAGGAAACTTCCCTGACTTTCCTTTGACCACTTAAAATAAACCACTTTGTTCTGAAACATGCTGCAATATGTTTGAACCTTGAAAATGTTATGCCAAGTCTCCTAATAGGTCTTTCTGCCTATTCTTGCTCTCCTGTTGCATATTCTGTCCACAGCAGCCAGCATTTTCTTTTAAAAGTATGCCTCAGAACACATCACTCCTCTCTGTTCAGTGCCTTTCACTGGCTTTCATTCCACTTGGAGTTAAAAGCTAACCACCACCATAGCCTGTTAGGGCCTAGGCAATCCAGACCTCACTCTGTGACCTCCTCTCCTGCTGTCTCCTTTGACAAGACCTCTGCCATACTTTTCTGGCTGTTCTTTGACTTATTGTACTTAGCATAATGCCCTTAAGGTTCATCCATGTTGTCACAAATAGCAGGATTTCACAGTATCCTTTTAATCTTTGTTGTATATGCACAGATACAATAATTTAGGCTCCGTGATTTTATAGCTAGGAAATACATAGTTGACTTCTGGGACCACCACCCTTGTTTTAGACCAGTCTTGACTTGTTTTTATCTTTACTTAGTCAAGTTACTATAAAAGCAACTATTTTAAAATAGTAAAGGAAAAAGAAAGTTTATGTTTTCTTCATCCTAGCATAGCTTTATTTTATTGATTAGGTTCTTTTACTACTTGTATTTAGAGGTAATCATGGTACATATGGTTTTTTTTTTCAAAGTAGATTTTGAATTCTTTTGCTACCTATTCATAAGAGCTCTAAAAACAACAATGAAAATGTAATCAAAATCCATGTTAGTGATTCAGACTGATGGTGTCATCTCTGTAGAAGGATGTCATGTCTTTTTAGAAAAATTTCAGATAAAACATATTTTGGTCATAGTATAGGTTTTTCTCTATGTTGTGAAATAAATTACAGTTAAGTTAGCCAATATTCTGTAGTAAGAAGCAGTTAAAATGTTTGTATGATAACCCTCACCTTCCAACTTCCTTTCAGTTAATCATCCTCAATTTAAGTTTAAGCAGCAGTAACAACAAAGGATAGCTTGTACTATACTAAGCTTACCACTCTTTGGTTGGTGTTTGAGATAAGATTTATATTGCCCACTAGTGTAATTAAAAGTATGTCTTAGTCCGGCTGGCATGGCATGGGTTGAGCGTTGACCCATGCACCAAGAGGTCACCATTTTGATTCCTGGTCAGGACACATGCCCAGGCTGTGGGCCCAATCTCCAGTAGGGGGCATGCAGGAGGTGGCCAATCGATGTTCTCTCTCATCGATGTTTCTCTTTCTTTCTCTCTCCCCCTTCCTTTCTCTCTAAAATCAACAAGGGGTGGGGGGTGGGGGGAAGTACATCTTAAATACCACAGTGTAGGAGAGAAACAAGAGGAAGTAGTCTTGTGATGGGTGTTTTCAAATGTTGTTTATCCTAATAAAGTTGACTAAATCTTTTTTGTTTTTAATCCTCACCAAAGGATATTTTTCTATTAATCTCCAGATAGAGTGGGAGGGAGGGAGAGAGAGAAGAACATTGATGTGAGAGAGACACATTGACTGGTTGCCTCCCATAGGACCCGTCAGAGCTGAGGACTGAACCACAACTGAGGTACGTGCCCTTGACCAGAATCGAACCCATGACTCTTTGGTGCATGGGCCAATGCTCTAACTTCTGAGCCAAACCAGCCAGGGCAAAGTTGATTAAGTCTTTTTATTTATTTATTTTTTGGTAGCTTAATAGTATTCAGCATTTTTTTTCTTTTTTCTTCAATTTTTATTAATTTACTTTTGTTACAGATGTTTCTCCTCCCCCCCAGACATCCTCCTCCCCATCCTGCTCCCCCACCCCCCAATATTGTTGTCTCTGTCCATTGGGTATGCATACATGCATATAAGTTCTCTTGAGCATCTGACAATCAGCAGTCTCACATGTTGAAGTTAAAATGAAATGTGTGTGTTTTTTAGATCATGAATCAGGCAGATAAAAATCAACAAGAAATCCCATCTTACCTTAGTGATGAACCACCAGAAGGTAAGTATTCATCTGTAACATTAAGAATGGAAAAAATGTCCTACTGAATCAAAGTTCTGGTTGTTTTCATTAAATTTAAAGTAATATAACCTGTTTACCTTGCTAGTAAATATGTTCTAAAAATAACTGATGAAAACCTTTTTTTTAGCCTCAAAAACACTGATTTGGTGAATGGGGACATAAAGTAACTGTTTTATTATATAAGATCTAGCTCTGTCTTCCTATACTATATATTGTCTTAGAGTCTGCTTTATTTAAATTATCTTTTAATTTGAAAATTGTTATATCATGAATCATTCTATTCTTACCTTTACTTGAAAAATCCTTGGAAACACTAACTGTGCAGCTAAATGCCTCAACTGTATACAGAAAATGCCCATAAGCATTTTTTATTTATGGTTTTGGTGCAGAGTATTATTATACTTAATTCAAATAGTGATCTCCTTGGACAACTGCATATTTGTACAGGACAGTCATAATAGGTAAGAAAGGGAATTGAATTGGAGAATGAGGAATGAAGTAATGACAGACCAGACAGACTACAGTAGAAGACAGACAAGGGTGTCGCTGGGAGGAGGCTAGGGCTGAATTTCTAGCCCTAGGTATTGTATTTTGCTCCCAGTTTCATTATCCACTGTCCAAAACTTTCTTCCTATATTTGTGTTGATAGACAAAAAGGAAGTCATTAGAAAATAATCACAATGAAAAGTTCATACTTAAGCCTAAAAGAGGATGGAGGTAACCAGCTTGAGTTTAGTTTGGTGGAGAAATAGCCTAGAAAATTATTAGCTCACCTGTTTTCCTTGCTTTATTTTTTAGGACTAGAACCCTGAGTTTTGAAAAGAAGTTAGGGCTCAATGGGAAAATGATAAGGACTTTGTGAGCAAATCTCCAGGAAAGAGACAGATAAAGGCTCTCCAGGAGCATGACTGTCAGGGAAGAGAACAAGCCTCAGGAGTGGCTGTGTATGGCAACCTGCTAAACAGAAGTAGTCTGCAAAGCAGATCATTTATATGGTGGTAGTTAAGCACGCTGTAATTAAAGAGATCAACAGCATTAATATTTATCTGATTTGACTAAGAAACATTATCTTCTACTAAAATTTAAAACTTAGAAAATGTTTTAAAGAAAAATTGTCTTCATTAAATGCCGGTGCATCAAATGTAGCATAGCAGCATTAACCCACATGAGGTATTCAGCATGAAGCAGTCGTCTGTTTTATCATCAAATCAGGATTTCCCCTTTTCCTAGTGCAATGACCTTGACCTTAATTATAAAAGAATGACCAGTTATGTAATTTTTTCCATCATAATTTTATCATTAATGCAGTAGTTCCCCTTACGCACAGGGGATACATTCAAAGACCCCCAAGTGGATCCCTGAAACCTTGGATAGTATCGAACCTTATAAACACTGTTTTATTCCTGTTAATCTCTTACTTTGTCTGATTTATCAAGTGAGCTTTATCACAGCCATATATATATGTTCTAAAAATAACTGATGATATGGCTGTGATAAAGCTCACTTGATAAATCAGACAAGGTAAGAGATTAGCAGGAATAACTAATAATAACATAGAACGAGTATGACGATATACTGTAAAAGAAGTTATGTGAACATGGTCTCCCTCTTCAAACTCTCTTATTGTACTGGACACTGATATTATTCACCTCCTCAGCGGGATGGAGAGGGATGGCTCGAAATTTAATCGTATCACTCAGAATGGCACACAGTTTAAAGCTTATGAATTATTTCTGAAATCTGCCATTTAATGTTTTCAGACCATGGTTGGCTGTGGGTAAATAAAACTGCTTAAGTGAAACTATAGATAAGGGATGACTACTGTATATTCAAATGTACATCTATGTCTTAAGCCTTTTATTTCAGCTATTTTAATATTTGTATTAACTAGGCTTATTATTCAAATAGTTTCAATAAAAAAAATTTGTTTTTATAAATTTAACCATTGCCGAACATGAGAATTTGTAATGTGATTGATCTTCTCAAAACAACCTCCTGATTGTTAGGGAGTTTTAGGTTACTTAATGATTTCTACTGTTCTTGTAAAGACTTGTATTTAACTGTCTCATTATATTTTCTCATTAGGTTCAATGAAAGATCACCCACAGCAGCAACCAGGCATGTTGTCCCGTGTGACTGGGGGTATCTTCAGTGTTACAAAGGGAGCTGTTGGTGCCACCATTGGTGGTGTGGCTTGGATTGGTGGAAAGAGTCTGGAGGTGACCAAAACAGCTGTTACAACTGTGCCTTCCATGGGAATAGGGCTGGTGAAAGGGGGTGTGTCCGCCGTGGCTGGAGGTGTTACAGCTGTTGGGTCTGCTGTTGTAAACAAAGTGCCCTTAACAGGAAAGAAGAAAGACAAATCTGACTAAGACACGGAGATACGTTTGCTCTCTACAGCATTATGATGCCAGTGGCATTGAATTGCTAAATTTTGGACTACAACTAAGTCAACTGTTTTGGACATTCTTCTTCTTAAACTGCTGTGTTGAAAGTATTGATGACTGGCTTTCGTCTAAAAAGAAGAGACCAATACTAGCACAGTGTATGAAGGTTTCTCATACTTAAATTCCAGCTTTTTATCTGGTAAAATGTTACACTTATCAGTTGTAACTGAAGATCTATTTGAATATTTACTATAAGTCTTTTAGTTTAACTAAAAATGTGAATGTTGAATTTCGTGGATGATCTTTACAGTTCCATATGTATAATGTGCCAGGTAACTCATCTGTCCCTTAAAAAGGGAACCTTGAACTACATAAACTGTAATTTTGACGTGCCTATAGTTTCAGATGTCTTAGTTTTTTTTTTATAATGATAGTTGATTAGGCCAAGAGTTATTCTTTTCTTATTTAAGCCAGGAAAAGTAGCAGGATTTAGAGAAATTTAAAACAAAAGACAAATGGTTTTATGATCCTGAGTATTAATCATCTTTTGTTAGATATGCATTATAATTTAATCATCAATGCCTTACAAAAGAAAACATCTTTTCCTAATACCCTAAATATGTGCAGTTCTTAGAATTATATATGGATTCTCTTAACAGTTGTTTGTGAAATCAGTTTTCCCTCTTGAAGAATCTCAGGAGTTGTGGGGTAAAGGCATTTCTTGCTCTTAGCAGATAAGAAAATGATTAACTTTTTGTTAACTGTCAGTAGTTGTAACCAAACTGTATGCTTCAACCTGGGTTCATGTTCCATCATCAGTACACCTCACAGTGCCTAAGGAATATTTCTTTGCTGGTCAGAAGCTATGTTGGAAGAGTTTCAGATAAAAGGAGTTATCTGAACAAATAAGTTTAAGTTTTTAAAAAATTACCTAGCACATCTAAGATATAAAAAGAATTTTTCATACCTGTTGTATCTTTAGGATGGCTTAAATTAAAAGCAATACTTGGTAAAAGAACCACAACTATGTGGGGACTGACTTTTAAATGGAATGAAATGGGCTCCATGGATTAGTTTTGAATGTAAAATATATATAAGTGCTTTCATTGGTTTATAGGCTTTTAAAATATGTTATCTCATCATCCTTTAAAGCAGCTGTAGACTTTTTACCATTTTCCAGGTCAACTTCAGGCAGGGACTTGAAGTTTTTGATTGTGGATGATAAGTGTCTCATGTCTTAACATATCTCATCATGTCTCACTCATTCTCAAAGAATATGACTTAGCTGAAATTCATTGTTTTGTTTTTCGTTTCATAAAAAATTTTAAAGTGGCACATATATATTTGGCATTCTTTTAACTGAGTTATAATCCCAGCCTGAAAAATATCTTAGTTTTCTTTATACTTAAGCCTGGAAATTTGCCTCCATTCCGCAGTTTTGTTTTGTTTTTGCCTTGCAGGGGAGGGGAGGAAAGGTATGATGCCGTGGAGTGAGTAAGTCAAATAGCATTCCTGAGAATTTGAAACAGATAATTCCAGCACCCAAGGTTTAAATGTCTATCTGTAAACGACAGAGAGTTTTACATTAATAATGTGGATTAACAAATGGATAAGAACATAACTTTTAAAAGCTTTCATAAATACCAGCAGGGATTTTAAGCAAATCTACAAAGGTTCTGGGCCTTTCTACAGTATACAAAACTGAAAAGTCGTTAAGGAGTTCAATTCATCAGAAATTAAATGGCTGTTTATTTCATGCCATATTATTTAAGGTATATTTGTCAGTATATCTGGTCAGATGTCATAAAGAGCAAAGGTTTTTTTCTTAATCCAAAATTAATAGATGAATAAAAATAAAGATCTAAATAATGGTATTAGAGAACTTGTTTCCTGCTATTTGAAAGAAGTTATTGCTTCATTGCTAGTTTATATTTCTAATTCATCTTCTCTAGTCGTAGGCTCTGCTTTGTACCTGAATTTCTAAATATAGACTTTATTTTATGCTTGCATATTTATTTTTAACTTTGCTTGTGTTTAAAACTGCTTGAGGAAAATGGTTGTAATTAATTTCTGCTACAGAAAAGCCACCTGATACATTTTATCTTACCGAGTTTAAATTCTAAACTGTAACTTTGTTCAGGAGCAGCTTTTGCAGTGATAGCAGAGAACTGTACAAATGGAGTTATGGAAGTTCTTGTTGAAATGAACTTGCCATTTGATAATGTATAGCTGTACACTTGAGTCTTTTTTGGTTTATTTTTGTAGATTAGCAATTTGACCTGTTAAATAGTACTAGTTCACTTCAAGAAACTAAGGTTGTATATACCTGGAGGTATCTGTTATTCAGCTTATCTTTTGAGTGGATATTTGGCACAATGAGGACAAACTTGTGTGGCCCATTGAATGACTGATCTAATAATGTTGATATTATGAGTCCTGCACTTAGTGAAAGACATTTCAGATGAAAATAACTGATGATTGATTTTTTTTTGTATTAAAGGAATGGGAAAAGAATACATGAATCTGTTAATAAAGCACTATGATCTACAAAATATGAAATGTTTCATAAAGATCTAAGGAAATAAATTTTAAAACAGAATATTCTTAAAAATTTTAGTTACATAGCAATTCAGAAAGTACTGTAGCCTGTTTTCATGTAAATGAAGAAATGATAAAACATCTCTGAATATGTATTTTGATGCCAACACAATAGATGAAATGCAAATATATATATTTTAATACTTTATTGATTTGAGGGAGAGAGGTATAGAAACATGGATGAGAACATCGATCAGCCGCTTCCTGAACGCCACCTAAGGGATCGAGCCCACAATCTGGGCATGTGCCCTGACCGGAAACCAAGGCCCTCTTGCTGCATGGGTCAACCACTGAGCCACACCAGCCGGGCAAATGCAAATATATTTTAAACAACTCTAATAAAGATTAAAAATGTAGATTTCTAGGTTTTACCCCAACTTGTTGAATCCCTGCCGAGTGGGCCCAGGGCTGCAGTTTAACAACCTCTGCAGGTGATTCCTATGCAGTCTGAAATTTGGGGAACTGATGAAGTTACAAAGTAGTGAGCACCTCCCTCTGTCCTAGATAGCTGTGGGACCAACTTCGACATCTCATTGGATAGAAGTGACGCAGAGGGACAGGAACCAGTTGGAGGAAGGTAGAAAATGGATACATACTGGCCATCTGCTTACACACCAGATGCTGTCCATACATTATCTACTTTAATCTCAATGAGGGAAGTATCTTTATTTTCTTTGTACAGATATGGAACCGGCTAACTCAATGTTAGCTGACTTTCCAGTATCACTTTTGAATTAGTGTAAGCCACAACTTCTCCAGCTTAGGTCCAGAAACAAATGGGGCTGCTCAGTAACGAGTCCCTCATTCTGCTGTTGGCATTCAGTGCTGCCTGTGTGCTAGATTTACCAGGCTGTCTACTGGAACTCGCTGGAGTCTTCCTGGGACCATATTTATTTTGGCAGCTAATTACATTTTGCCACCGAAATTAGTTTAGTGTAATTACATATACATTACTTGCAGGAATCATTTAATTTTGTTACCGGAGCCTTTATTCACACAGGAAATAAAGTTTGACTCGTGTTTTTTATTTTATCCTCACCCGAGGACATTTTTCCATTTTTTGTTCAGATAGAGTGGGAGGGAGAGGAGAGAGAGAGAAATATCGATGTGCAGGGACACATCGAGTGGCTGCCACCCGCACGACCCAACCAGGGCCGGGGCAAACTGCAACCGAGGTACATGCCCTTAGCGGGAACCGAACCCGGGTCTCTCTGGACCGCAGGCCAATACTCCAACCGCTGAGCCAAACTGGCCAGGGCTGACTCTAGTGTTTTATGTACGAGTGGCCCCCTGCTACATTGTTGGTTTTGAATATGTTAAATTTTATTTATATATTCGAATAAGAATGCAAGAATGGAAAAAGGGAGAGATTCAAAGGCTTACAGAAGAAAACATGTAACAAGATTTAGTCTATGGGAATATAAAGTCAACATACTGGAATTTTTTTTTTGGTTCGTGCCCCTAGCGGGAACCGAACCTGGGACTCTGGTCTGCAGGCCCATGCTCCAACTGCTGAGCCAAACCTGCCAGAGCAACATACTGGAATTTTGACCACAAATGGAGATTTAAAAAAAAACACTTAATCTTTTCAAGTTAGAGTAAGTGACAAATGTTATTCCTAAAACCCAGAGTGCCTCTGGTTCTCTGGGCCTGGGCCTACACCCCTAAATTTTGCTGCTGTACTGACTAGGCTCTTTGTAAATTAATGGCCACTAAGCACACATGGCCACTCAGTTCTGCCAAACTTTGTTCTATACCCTCTTGTATGTTCACTTTCCCACTCCTCAAGATGACTATTTCCTCCTTCCAACCCTCCTGCTATATGTACTCCCCATTCCCCCTTCTACTGTCCTCTGACAGCAACTCCCCTGCCTTATACCACCCACTGCATCAGCCTGCCCACACCTGTTCCCACACTCCATGGACCAGGACTAGTATCTCTGCTCTTATCCAAAGTCTGCCCACCTTCACTTCCTCAAGGATATGAATCCTGCAGTTTTTCATCTCTCACCCATCTCTCTTGGGTCATACCCATCAATATATAAACAAATATATAGTATTTGCTTTCTTAAAAAAAAAAAAAAAATTTGCAGTAAAATTTCTTGAAGAATCGCAGTTTCTTCCTCTTCATCTTTCAACCCACTCCAGTTGCCTTACCGTTCTCAGTCTATCAGAATCACTCCTAGTAGGGACAGCTAATGATTTCCTGTTTGCCAAACCCATTAGTCACTTGTCTGTATCTTAGTTGGCATCTCCACAGCATTCAACCTTACTGACCATGCCCTCTTTCCTTGGCAGACTTCTTCCTCTGGTCACCCCTTTCCAGGATAGGCCAGCCACTACTACAAATCTGTACTTTGTTCCTGGGTAAGCTCATCATGAGTCATAGCTTTAAATTATATAGATATGCAGATAACCAGATGACTGCAGGATAGCAATCTCCAGTCCTGACTTCTCACAACTCTGGACTTTGCCATTTGCCTCTTTGACATTTCTGCTCAGATATCTACTAGACATTTCAAAATTGACATCTAAAAGGTGACCACATAATGTATAATGTATTTGAAAACTCAGTTGACAGAGCACCACTGATAATTGTATCAGGTCAACAAGCATAAGCTAGTTTCTCTAAGGGTTTCCCATCACACTGGAGTAAGAGATTGCACCTTCGGTGGACCTGTAATGCTCGTCTTACCTGCCCCACTCCCCCTGCCCCCACCGCACTGACTGCCTTTCTTGAACAGAATTCCTGGGACTTTGGGTGATTGAGTAACCCTCTGTGTGCCTGAGGCTCCTCATCTGTAGACCAGTAAACAATGGTACCTAACTCTTAGGGTTGCAAAGCAGTGTGTCTGGCACTTGGTGCTGCAGAGAGATTGCCTTCACTCTCCTAAGGAACTGAACAGATTTGGGCAGTGGGGGCTACTTGCATTTGCTGAATGACGACATAGCCTGCATTTTTCATAATATGTTCCTGAAGAAACGGCCATGCCCATCAGTGTACAGATGTTTATCAGTCAACTGTTTGGTTGTGTATTTGTTAAAAAGTACAAACTCCACAGCTGAAAGTGGGCCAGTCTTTATCTGGGTAGTGTTTATCTTGGAACAAGATTTAGAAATAGAAACGTGAAATGGTACTAAATTCAGGACCAACCATCACACACTTTCCCTTTTATGGGCAGACCTGGATATTCAAAGTTCTTGAAAATGGTCCATTTACTTCAAATGTCTATAAACTGCATCATTTCAAATTTAAGGAATTTTACAGAGAAGTTTTTTATAAAAATCCCTAAATTTGTTGGTACTCACTCTTTTGGCAGGTCAGGTAGGGGTGACTTTTCTCATGCCAACTCATAAGCTATCCCTTTTCTATTTACGAGGTTTGAAAAGAAGTCAGATCATAGTAAATCTGGGCTGTCACCTGGCAGCTGAAGGGCCTCTCTAAGCTTCAGTTTCCTCATCTGTAAAACGGGGGAAGTAATGAATGCACTTAAAAGCATTTCATGAGAGAAAACTAGTCAAATTTTAAAAAGCTGACCTTACAAGTAAGTTCTAATTGTTCTTTTTGGATGAGTAATACTTGGCTCTGAAAGATACTCATTTATTCCAACCAGGAGATAAAATCAGCTTTCTCTAAAAAATGTATTACAAGTTTGCTGATGTTTCACTCACACTAAGCTACAGAATTCAGACCATAGTGGTGATGTTTCAGAGCTGGTGGTGAGGAAGAAGGCTGGGTCTGAATCCCAAATGAAATGTGCTATATGAATAAAAAAATGTATCCATACTTTGAGTTAAGCGAGTGCACTTGTCAGTTTCTTAGAAATGATTCACTTATATCACACCAATGTGCCATTTAATAGTATAGGATTTTTAAAAAATAGCTTAAGGTCAAAATGACCAATTTCATTTAAAATAAATGCAATTTATATATTAAAATACAGCATATGAGTTGGAGATTATTTACTTAGAGATATTTTACACACAACTGAGAAGCTAAGTAAGTTCTTAAAATTACTGGTGCAGCCCTGGCCAGTTTGGCTCAGCAGTTGGAGCGTTGGCTTGCGGACCAGGGAGTCCCGGGTTCGGTTCCCGCTAGGGGCATATACAAAAAAAAATTACTGGTGCCTACAAACTGCCTGAATAGTGTTTCTTTGGTACCAAATTTCACTCTGCAGGGCCAGAAAGAAGCAATGTCAGCCAGCAAGTTACTCATCAACATGTAATGGTGCCACAGGATTAAATAATGGCCTTCCCTTTTTGGTCTGAATTTTACCAAAGTTAGCTTCAAACTCTTTTTTCGTTCCATTTAGATTTGCTAGATGTCCATCCTTGATTTTGTAGCCTAAGGAATTTAGTTTCCTTATCCTGTACTGTACTATCTGTGGTGTTAATTCAAGAACCATGGGCGTCTCTCTTATCTGAGCTATGGAAATTCCTTCTTTCAATAATCCCTGAATTCTCTCTTCTAAAACAGAGACGGGATAATATAAAAGGGCAGGACATTTCAAAACTAACTGCTTCAGATCATGATCTGTGCATTTAAAAGCATTTTTAGAGAAGGAAATACTGTTCTGTATGCTTCTTGGGCCAAGTTGAAAAAGAAACCCTTTCAGTTTGGACAGAAGCTGGAGAATTTCAAAGTTTGTGAAACCTTGCTCCTGGAGAAATTCCAGTGTTTCTTTTATAGCTGCAGAAGAATTTAACAAAATAAATGGGTTTTGGCTTAATAACTTCAGTAGCCAAACTTTCATGTTAGCCTCGGAGCCACCTAAATTTAGATAATTCTCTTGGAGAACCCTTATCATTTGCTTATTCTTCTCAACGGGATTATGAAAAATACTAGATGCAGTTGTCAAAAATCTGCTAATGACCACATTTCTGAGTCCCAACTCTTGAAAGAACTGAATGTTCAGTTTCTGGTTCTTCTGGTCTTTAACATTAAAGAAAGATTCTGGAAACTGTTCTATTAACTTGACTAACTCTTCCTGGTTTTTGCAGACTGATTGCCAGAGTTCTCTCTGGGTGTTAACAGCAGTTGGACTGCAGACGATGGCTTCTGGGCAGAGTTCCAAAATACTGGCTACAGCAGTCTCATCGGCACCTAGTTGTTGTAAAATATTTGCAATTTCTTCAACATAGGTTTCATCCTCCAAAAGGACCCACCCTTTATATCTGCGAATTTTCCTGATGTCAACTGAAAATTTATGGAACTTTTCCACTGTTCTTTTATTTTCTTTGTTCGACTGACTGTTAGTTGTATAGGTGAAGCACACTAAAAAAGGTCTGTATTTGGGAGCTGATAGCATCTTTCTGCAAGTACAAAGCCTGCAAGGCTGGGATCTCATCAGCAACTTCCACAACATGCCTGGAATCCACGGGCTGATCCCCACCGTCCTGTGACTCAGAATGTACTCAGGGTGCCTGCAAGCAAGAAAAGACAGATTTTAGCATAAGGGGTGTTAACCTGTAGAACACAAACACAAATTTGAGCTGTAAGAAGCAAGCATGGAAATAACACGGATTTTAATTAGACAGGAAAACTACTAGTGAAATATTAAATATATCCTCTTAAATAATTGATAAAATAATTATACCTCTTCACAACTTAGCCATACTTTATAAATACACTGTCCATTTCAGCGTTGCAGCAACCTTGTTAAGTAGTTATTTCTATTTTATAGATCAGTAGCAAGTCCACAAAAAGTTCAAAGATTCACAGACCACAGATATTATTTTGACACAAATCCCTCCTACAACTCTAATATATTTCTCTTCAGGAGACATATATTACTTACACACACACACACACACACACACTTTTTTTGTTTTTAACTTACATTTTCAAGGTGATGTTTAGCTGAAGCAAATACTAATTAAGAAAGGGGGGGTCTTCATCTCCAATTTTATGTTTCAGGGTAAATATTTTTGCTGAATATTACCCAAAATAAGTCAGTTAATTTGTTTTATTTAAAACAAGTAAATAAATGTACGTGTTCTATGAGAATTGTGTGAAAATTTTCTATAAACCCAGAATTAAAATAAGTTTTAGCAGGTACAATGAAGGAGGCCTGGCCTAAGGGACTGTCCCAGTGGAGCCACGGGAATGCGTGTCGGCGGAGGAACGGGGGCCATGCATTTACAGCAGTCTAACCAGCTGTCCCCACTTGACAGCTTGGGCTACCTAGACATGGCTGTACTGTGCCTGATGCACTACTTTCTCATATTTCTGGTAATGAAAACATACCTAGTTTGTGGTTTTAACTGTTAGTACCTGAGAATGAAATGTCTCGGCTCTATCATGAAAATGTAGTACTGAGTTATCGGCTAGTTAGCAGCCTTCCCTTAGTCTTCATAGGAAAACTGAAAAAAGCCATTTCCAACCCCTGCCCTTAATAATGCCTTTGCCTTGTATGCCAAGGACTCTTCACTGTCAAGCCCGTCCTAACTAACCCAAATAAATGACCATTCTCTAAGGAAAAATAATAGGGAACAATGTTCTCGTTTTGGTTTACTTTTTGTTAAAATAGCTCAGTTAGTGCCTATGATGTCCAAAATTAATGTGGGCATTGCTTCTGTTTTACTTCTAGTGGTTCAACCAGAGTTTTCTTCAGATAATTCCTAATACCAATTTCCTTCAAGTGACTCTCCGACAGCCAAGATATAAATAATAAAGCATTTTTTAAATTTCTGAGAAGACCTCAGATTTTCAACAGCAAGGAGGTACGAGTAAGAGGAAGGGCAGGGGCACACCCAGGCCGGAGCCCCGGGCTCGGGCCTCACTCCTGCACCACCGCCAGAAGGGGCACAGCTCTGCAGCTGAACTGCCCAGGCCCTGCCCCGGCTCTAATTAGGGTTCATCTTGGGAAAGTTACTTGGCCTCAGATTAAACAAGTAAACAAGTAGTAATTACCACATAGCCTCAATGTTCAATAAGTATTAGTCATAACAACAATAGTGTCATCTGTAAAATAGAGCAGCAGGTAAATCTTACAGGAATAGTGTGACGGTTAAAATGCACGTCAAGTATTTTGTACAGAACCTGGTATGCAGTAAATACTCAATAAATGGTAGCCATTACTAGGAAACATCCAGAACTAAAATTCTTGTAGAAATGTGACTTTAAATAGTATTTTAGACTGAAGTACATTATTTACAAAGAATATCTAAAAGTTGTAAAAATTGTATTTTAAATGCTTTTATAAGCAAAATAACTGTTTATAAAAGTAGTTATAAATACAATCTCACTATCGAGAATCTGCCAAATTCTGAAAGTAGAAAAAATATATTTCATAATCCCATCACCTATAGACAACTATTCACATTTTGACATCTAAGTCCAGTTTTCCCTATGCTTCTAATCCCCTTTATTATAATTTTTAAACATACAAATCTGCCTTATACATAAGTTAGTTTCTAAACTCAGTCTATAAAGTGAAAATTGCAGAAACTCAAAAATTTGCTTGAAAACCCCTTAAGCAGGCACCACCCTGGATACCAACACACCGTCTCCCAGTAAGTCCCGTGCAGCCAGGGTTCTTCCAGGCCTGGAACAGATCCCGGTGTTTGGCCAGATGAAGTAGTTGGCTTACTCTGGGGGTTACGTCATAGAAAATGACAGATCATTAAATATTAGAACCACAATGACCACGCATGATGCTCCTGCCCAGTGAGGCTAAGGGAAAAGTGGGTTGGCTCCCATTTCCTGCTTATTCCAGGAGGAACTATCTTGTGTCCAGGTGAGTTGTCCGAACAATTAAAGCAGTCTTGCTCTATCTAGTTCACACTCCCTGATAAACAAACACAGTTGACTAACAAAGTGGAAAGTACAAAAGTTTTGGCTCCTCTACAATCAATACATGTTATAAAAGTAAGTTTACAGTTGTAGTAGTAATACAGTAATTAATAAATAAGAATAAACTCTCATGGACTCACAACTGTAAACCTACTTTTGCCTGTATACATACATTATTCTTTTTTTTTAATGATTTTTTTATCCTCACCTGAGGACATTTTTTTGCATTTATCTTCAGATACAGTGGGAGGGAAGAGAGGAAGAGAGAGAGAGAGAGAGAGAGAGAGAGAGAGAGAGACATTGATGCGAAAGAGACATATCAAGTGGCTGCCACCCACACGACCCCAAATGGGGCTGGGGACAAACTGCAGCCAAGGTACGTGCCCTTAGCGGGAACCGAACCAACTCTCTGGTCCACGGGCCGACGCTCCAACCGCTGAGCAAAACCGGCCAGGGCCATATGTTATTCTTTTATCTACTATATCTAACCTTGGAATAAAAAATGCTCTAAATATTTAAAATGCGTGCATGATATATGGGATGAATATACTATCATTTTGTAATTTATTTCCTAGTATTGAGCAGTGGAGCTATTTGTAACTTTTTGCTATATGTTGAATATCTCTCCACATTTCATATTTTTTTCCTTTAGGATGAATTCCCAAGAGTAGAATTACTGAAGAGGTTTACGTGAAATTCAGCTGTTAATTTACTACCCAGAAAAACTATCTCAACTGACATTCTAACAAGCAGTATGAGTGATTCTCTCATCAGTTATACTTTTCATATGTGAAAATGGATACAACACTACTTAAACATTTTTATTTTATTATTAGTGAGGCTGAACTTTTCTTAATAAATTGTTTTGATAACCTGTATTGCCTTTTTCATGAATTAACTATTCCTGCCTTTTGCCTTTTTTATCAGTGGCATTAAGTAAATTCACAATGTTCTACAACCACTTTTTCATCATCCTAAGCACAAACTTTGTACCCATTAAACAATAATTCTGCACTCCTTTCTCCACTTAGCCCCTGGTAATTTCTATTCTACTTTCTGTCTGTCTCTATGAATTTGCCTGTTCGTGGTATTTCATATAAGTGGGATCATACAATATCTGTCCTGTTGTGTCTGGTTAGTTTAACTTAGCATAATGTCCTCAAGACTCGTGTCCAGTAGAACATGAGTCAGAACAAAGTGATTCATTTTAAGTAGTCAGGGCAGTTCCCCTTCCTTTACGATTCCTACTGCTTTTAAACACCAGACGATCAGATAAAAATTCACCCAGATGTCCCTGTGTAGTTTTGAATTTTAAAGGTTAGCTCCTTTAATTCACTTGATATTACTGTGAGTTGAGAATCAAAATAGATTTTATCAGTTTACCTCCAAGCACCATTTTTAAACAATCTTTTCCTTCCCCATGATCTGCAATGCCTCCTTTATTATACAGTAAATGTAGCTTCTGTTTCTCCGTAGCTTTCATCCGTACCCCTCTATTATTTTGCAATTCCCTGAATGAGCGAGGAGGCTAATTTCTGGCCTTGCCAGACCATCCCAAAACAATCTCTGGTCAACTATTCCTGCACATGCCCCACCAAATTTGTCAAATTTTCTCAAGTCGGACCTACAGCTTCCCTCCAACCCTGTTTCCTACTTCACTCTTACCCAATACCCTTGCCTTTCACCTCTACAAAGAAAGGAGAGCAACCCGTCACACCATACATAATCCTTCTGCCATCTCCGCTCTCTGCACTTACACCTTTCATTACCCAGGGTAATCCCGGCTCTGGTGCTGACTCCAACCCACCTGGCCCAAGAGCCCTGGAGCCCCCTTCTCACAAATTCACTCCTTTCAGCTGCATCCTCTCTGAGGCTCCCACCCTCACTGCCATGGCTCTTCCTCTAGCTAAACCCGTTTTCCCGTCCCCTTGGTGAATTCTTGCAGATCCTTCTTTCTCTCCATTTCCTCTGCTCCTACTTCCACTAAAAACAACTTCCATGTATGGAGCCAACGAGCGGCTTTAGTCCCTCTCTCTCGAGCTCTGCAGCTCTCGGCACAGCTGACCACTTTCTCCATAAAATACTCACTTGACTTGAAGGACTCCCCACTCTCCGGGTTCTCCCTCTTCCTTCCCCCACGTCAGACCTCCCTTTAACTGTCTCCTTTGCAGGCTCATCTTCAGGGATTGATTCTAGACTCTTCTTCTTACACTTTTTCCCCCAGAGAGCCTGTCCTTGTCTGGAGCTTCAGTTAATCCACTTGGGCTTCTCTCCAGCTTCCTCTCAAAATGTGATCTTGTCACCTCCCTGCAATAAACTTTTCAATGGCACCTTAGGATAAAGACATAAAACAAAATAAAAATGCCTCACCATGGCCTACAAAGCCTCTTCGGGTTTTGCTGCCACCCAAATCTACTCCCCCGCCCTCCATCTCCTCACCTTATCCAGCTACACCTGCTTCCCTTCAGTCGGTCCCTGGTGCTCTACTACACAGATTTTCAACCAGTGTGATGCAAGAATTTTAGAAACATGCAATACCTGACTATTTAGTCAGGCGCACTGGCCTCTTTTCCCTTAGATTGTCAAATTAAAAAATGACACCAGCCAACAAAACAATAGCTATCCGGAGTGAATGAATCAAAAGTCATACCTATTTTTTTGTCAGATTGGCAAAACAATACATTTTTTGGTGTGCCACAGAATTATATATATTTTTTCTCATTTTATTTTATTAATTTATTTTTGTTACAGATGTTTCTCCTCCCCCCCCACTGATTTTCCCCTCCCCCTCCCTCCCAGCCCTGTCCCCAGCTTTGATGTCCATGTTCATTGTTCATGCACACATGCATATAAATTTTGTAGTTTATCTCTCCCCCACCACCCCTTCTTCTGGGGATTGTCAGTCTGTACCCCACTTCCACATCTCTGGGACTACCCCATTCCTCAGACGGTTATGTTCATTATATTCCACAAATAAGTGAGATCATATGATACTTGTCTTTCTCTGTTTGGCTTGTTTTGCTTAGGATAATAATTTCCAGGTCCCCCCATGTCGTCTCAAAGGATAAGAGATCTTTCTTTCTTACAGCTGCACAGTACTCCATTGTGTATATGTACCACTGCTTTTTTATCCATTTGTCTACTGATGGACATTTGGGCTGTTTCCAGATCTTAGCTATTGTTAAATAGTGCTGCTACGAAGATGGGGGTACATATATTCTTTCTGATTGGTGTTTCAGGCTTCTTAGGGTATATTCCTAGAAGTGGGATCACTGGGTCAAATGGAAATTCAATTTTTAATTTTTTGAGGTAACACCATATTGTTTTCCATAGTGGCTGCACCAGTCTGCATTCCCACCAGCAGTGTACTAAAGTCCCCTTTTCTCCACACCCTCACCAACACTTGTTGTTTGATGATTTGTTGATAGTGGCCATTCTGACAGGTGTGAGGTGATAGCTCATTGTTGTTTTAAGTTGCATCTCTCTGATGATTAGTGATGTTGAGCATTTCTTCATATGTCTCTTAGCCATTTGTATGTCCTGTTTGGAGAGGTGTCTATTTAGTTCCTCTGCCCAATTTTTAACTGGGTTCTTTGTCTTCCTTTTGTTCAGTTGTATGAGCACTCTATATATACACCGGAAATTAACCCCTTATCTTATATATCATTGGCAATTATGCTCTCCCATACAGGTGTGCCACAGAATTTTAGTAATTAGTTTATGTGTGCCATGAGATGAAAAATGTTGAAAATTGCTGCTCTGCCTGTTCCCACCACAGGGTCTTTGAAGACAGAGGACTGTTCCCATGCCCTAAATGCCCCTAACTCCTAGGTTAGTGTCACTTTCTCAGGTAAACTTCCCAGACCTGAATGAATAGAGGAAGCCTCCTGTCCCCATTCTAGGCTATCATGAAACCATGGATGGTTCCTTTGTGCCACTTGTCACAGCTGCAGCTGTTCATGTGTTGTTTCTGTCTCACCCTCCATGAGGGCAGAGACTGGTCACCATGTTCCAGTGAACTGCTTCCCCACCCTTCACCTGGCTGACGTGGGTGAGTCTAGGAGGCATTCCTGGTCAGGTGACCTTTGTGTGTGCTCCTCTAGAGCAACGGCTCTTGATGCTGTAGCATTACGGATCCTCCTAAGTTTGTCATTTATTCAACCAGTGGTTTTTTGGCTTTATTTTAAGCTCACACAATGTGTCAGGCATTATGCTAACACTAGCTCTTCTACTAAAATGTTTCTTCATACCTCTGGATCACAGACCCACTGGAGAACCTGATGATAGCCACAGACTCTCTTTCAAAAATCCAACATTATTTTCCAAAAGATTTTAGCAAATTCGTTTTAGCAGGATTCAGACCCTGAGCCCAAATAGGAACAACCTGCAAGAGACTGCAAGCACTAGGGCCGGGTGGGGGGTGGGGTGGGGGTGGGGGGATCCTGACTGCTCTTCTACTTTATCCCTGTACCCAGCAAAGAACTTGGTCCACAGAGGAATAAAATCAATGTTTGTCAACTGAAACTGAATAAACAAACCAAGTTCATGAGGGAACTTAGTGTAGTGGCTAGAACTGTGGGCTGCCTGGGCTTAATTCCTGGCCATGCTGTATTGTGACCTGAAGTCATGTCACCTCTCTGCGCCTTGGCTTGAGCTGAGGAAAATGGGATACTACATCCTGGGTGACTGCGAAGATGAAATGATTTAATACCATAAATCACAGGGTATTCAGAAAACTCATTAAGTCATACAACCCATTCTAAACATGAGAAAACTGGACAGTCTGTCCAAGGTTGCTAGCGAATACAGGGCAGACCTGGTATTCCCATGTAGACCCAACCGCGTGGCTCCAGAGTCCAGCCCTCAGCCTGGGCCCTGCACACAACCATGCTCTTGCTGTGTTTGTTCAAAGGCAACGTGCGTTAGTCTCTGAAACTTCATGTTTCCTAGACATTTCTGAGTAGCGACATCCACTCGGTAACATGCACCCTTTTCATAACACGGGCCCCTCTAGAACACCGGTAACTTCATTAAGTTCTACTTCTACAACATGTACCAACTGCTGGGTTTCAAATAAAACCCAATGGGAAAAAACGAAGGCCACGGAAGGGAATCTCGGGGAGCGATCGAAAGCCACACCTGCGTCGTGTGGGGCCTGCGCTTTCCCCGAGGAGCTTCGACCTGCAGCGCCCGGTGTCCGCCCGCCCAGGCGGCGGCGCTGACGGCCCTCGACCCCCACGCGCTGCCGGGCGTGGGGCGCCCACCCCCAAGGGCGGGGAAATGGTGCGACTCACCTGTCGGCGTCTGCTCCTCGCTGAGCGCAGGGAGTCTCGGTTCCGGTGCGGTCCTTCCTCCCTCACCGGCTGAAGTTTCCCGAGGCTGGGAACCCGAAGACCAGGAACCGGGCCCAGGGCCTTGAGCGGCTGGCGCATTTCCCTCAGCTGCGCCAACTAGGCCACCAGCCACTTTACCGCAGCCAATCGGAGCACGGGAGACCGCTGCCCTCAGCGCAGCCAATCAGGGCGCGGCGCACGGGCCACGTGACCATCCAGGGGCGGGGCAGCGTGGGAACCAGCTTTCTGTGGGACTTCGCTGGAGCAGACAATGTTTGCCTCTGGCATTTTCACACCCTTTCCTTCCCAGCGTTTTAGAAAAGCTGGACTTTCGGTCATTCTGTCCCTTGGGGAATGTCACTGGCCCGAAATTAACAACGTAGAATTAACTCAGAAATCACCATCTTTAGGCTAGAGCCATTCAGAATTCCCTAACTCAATAGGCAAATAACCAATTTACAAAAGAAATGTTTTAAAAAGCCCAAATCTCCTTCCTACTACCACTGTCCCAGTCAGTCCTGCACTCAGCAGAGAAGGTAGGTGTCTGATTCGTCTTTAAAAACCTCCCTCCTGCCACCTTCACCTAAATATTTGTGGTTTACATTCCAATTACTGCTTGTAATGGCAACTTTATAAATTAATTTCTCCTTAAAGTCAGGCTTAATGTCTGTCCCATTTACTCTCACGTTAATCCATCCAAATAAAAAAATATTTATGGCCTGCCTATGAAGAAGGGTCAAGCATAGGAAACAGCAATGAGAAGATGGACCGCAGTGGACAAGACAAAGGGGAATAAAGTACATTTCTTGTTCTGGGCGTTTACATGCTAGTGGAGGGCGAAGACATTAACAACCAATAACATGGTTAATGGCAACTAAATTTAAATGTTTCCAAGGACAGGATGCCCTGACCCTACCTGTCCTATGCTCATGTGTGGAGCTGGAGTCAGGAGAGCTGTAAGATTTTCCTAGTGTTTCCATAGCACACTGTGCACAATTCTAACACAGCCTAACACACAGCACTGCAATTCATCTAGGCTGCCCTCTCTCTCACCTTGTGGAGCAAACTTCTGGTGGATACTGATGAATTACTTTCCTATGAACTATGCTTGGCACAAAGTAGGGACTGAGAAAACGCTAACTATATCTTTGAGTATAGCCTTAGTACCCAATTTGTGTTCAATAGACTTTGTTGAGAAGGACTGACACTTGACTTTAATTCCAGAGTAGCAGCAAGAATCCTGGGCTCCTTGTCTTAAGGTCTCCCGGATATTCTAGAATGAACTGAGTAGCTTTTGTATACCATAAAGTAATGCGGTGCTTGTCCAGTAACCCTTTTCCCTTCAAGTTACCCTTATACAAAAACCTTATTGTTTGTGGTTTTATTAAACACTTTTTCCCAAAATACAGGGACTTTGGGTCCAGACTAAACAAAGTACTTCACATACATTTATGAAAAGGGAATTAGAGTGTGATACTGGAGTCAAAGAGAAAGAAATTAAGGCATATAAACTCAGACCTTAGAACTGTACGGTCAGGAGGGAGGGAGCGGAGATGTGCACTAGGGTGCTGGCAGCTTATTCCAGGACAAGAATGATAATACACATGACCCTGTGAATTGTAATCAAAACTGAAACTGACCAACACAGCAATACCAACTGTATTAAATGTTACCCAAAGCCTTTTCCATCCTAAATATTTAAACAGTGCATTTCTAGGACCATAAAATTGGAGGGGGGGGGGGGCTTGGATGGAGAAATGGGGGGAAGGCACCTACTATTATTCATATTATCTATAAGAAGATCACAAACATGTCTGAAATTGTGAGAAGACCCTGATGTTTCTAGTATGCAAGAGATGCATTAAAAATGATACTGTTATCAGTCTTTTATATTCCAAAATTATTCATTTATTTTAAGTGAATGTGAAAGATATAAGGGCTTTGCATTGGTTGATTCAAAAGCTTGGTTCTCTCAACTCAATTCTTCCAGGTTGCCAGCACAGTTTTTGGTAGTAAGAGTTCAAGAAGTATTTGCTGAATGAGTAAAAGGTCTTGAATCCCTCAACCACCAACAGGCAGGGATGTTAGAACACTAACCCTTCTAGTGAGGGGAGAACATTATATTCAAACATAGTGCATCTTCTCAGTTGGAGCACACTGATACTACTCTTTCTCTTTCAGTGATTCTTGTTAGTCACAATTTAGACCAAACTGAAAAAGTTTTCCCTAAAAAACCCTAAAAAAATAAAAAGAGATATTCCTACATATCAGTGTGAAACATCAGTGCCTTTGCTAAATAGCATTCTTTTACTAAAATACTTACTTATTCACATTAAAACTGAATCTTTTATTCCCTTGGATGGTGATGGCAAATCCTAGGTCTATGAATTTCTCAGTTTTGTACAGTGTAATCAGGTCTAAAGAGTATGATGTGAAGTATGGATATTATGAGAAACAATTAAAATATTACTCATTAACAGTGGTGAAAGAAGAAAAGGCACATTTTTTTCTTTTCTCAGTAACAGAATTTATTGATGAGTATTATTAATTCATTATCCAGGATACTGTTAAAATGCCTATCACATAAAATGTATTGTTGTTTCTGGATTTCTGACTCAAATTTATCTTGCATTACCTCTAAATATGACTATCACATTGAACATCTACCATTACTAAAGATAAGAAAACAAAAACTCACTTGTTATATGGCAAGAATTAGCTACCAGAGACAGGAAAACGATAATAATACTAAAACAATAATGGCAGCTAACCAGAACTGCAGCATACAGTTGCACAATCCAGTGAGCTACACCGCTTGGCAACACTGTAGCTAACTTTTATATAGTATATCATACCATATGCCAGGCACTGTCATAAGCATTTCAGATGCAGTATGAAGCAGATACCACTCTCATCCCCATTTTATAGATGAGAAAAGAGAAGGCACAGGTTAATAACTTGTCTAAGATCTCAAAGCTAATGAGGGGCAGAGTCAGGTATTTGACTCCAGAGCCCAATACATTCTTAACTTATTATCCTGTACTAATTCATAACTACAATCCCTATTACTTGTAAAAAAACTCTCTGGTTTTACCTCTTTCTTGCAGATGACTTTATTTTTAAAAGTATAAAGTATTTGGAAGACAATACTCTTATGGAATAATTTTGAAAAATAACATTTTACTAAATACATGGGTAGGCAAAAGTAGATTTACAGTTGTTTGTGTGGAAAACACAATAATTAATAAATAATAACACAAGAATAAACTCTGTGCTTCAAGTACTCACAACTGTAAACCTACTTACCCCACTCCTGTATATGGTAGCTGTTCCTTCATTCAGAATGGTGACATGTGGTTTATAGACTCTCCTTAATTTATAATTATATCTCACAAACCAATGTTCTCCGTCTTTCCTAAACCAAACAAACAGTAAAAAAAAAAGGAAAGCGACCACCAAATACACAAGATTCCATATATGTATATACTTTAATAACAAAGGTCACTTTAGCTATAAATGAACAAAGAAAGGGAGACAAAGAGAACTTAATACATGGTACTTCCACAAGTTTGGTCAAACAGGCATACATAAAGCTTTAAAACGTAAACTGTCTGTGTTAACAAAGGCTATAACTACCAATTTTTGATTACACACATTTCTTAAAACATTATTATCAAAGAACACAAAGTTAGAGCAAACAATGTCAAGAAAATTTTAACAAAGTCTTTTAAGAAAGTCTAAAAACTTCCTATTTTCCCACATTGACTCTCAAAACTTTGATTTTTTTAAAATATCAGAATATCAGTTTGCCACTTTAACTTTTACCATACATGAAAAATTATCAAAAATATATTGATGGGTCTATACTAATTGTGCTATTTATATTTACATTAAGCAAATTCTTTTACCAAGTTCTTTATATACAAATGACCATGTGTCCTATGTGAAATTCATTAAAAAGTTAAAAACCACAGAAATTTCATTAGAAACAACTGCTTTCCATCAATGAAGAACATTTTAAAATAATTTAACTGAAAAATGTATTGAACTCCCCAACAATTTCAGCTGCAACAGTATTCTTCCTGAATGTTTTCTGTGATTTAAGGGGAAAGAAAAAACTAGGTAAAGCTTGATTGCAAGGAATTAAATGATAAAAATTTGATGAGCATTTACTGATCTTCAAAAAATTTACAGCCTAATTAGGTTGGCAATAAAAAACAGCAATAATTTTTATTTCATTTTTAATAAATTAATTTTGTTAATCCTCATTCGAGGATATTTTTTCCATTGATTTTTCGAGAGAGTGGAAAGGAGGGAGGGTGGAGGGGTAGAGAGAGAGAAAAAAAGAAATATCGATGTGTCTCTCTCACATTGAATGGTTGTCTCCAGAATGAGCCCTGACCAGGGTTGGGAACTTGAACCTGCAACCCAGGTATGTGCCCTTAACTGGGAGTCAAACCCAAGACCCTTCGGTGTGTGGGTTGACACTCTAACCACTGAACCACACTGGTCAGGGTGAAACGGCAATAATTTTAAAACTAAAATAGTTTAAGATAATTGAAAAAACAAGTTTTTAAAAACTGTCAAATGCACTATATAAATACTTTTCCTATAAATTTAAATCACAAAATAATATCCTATAGCAAAGTGAATTGAAAGCAGCATGACCTGTTGATACTTCCAAAAAGGGCCAACGTTTAAAAAAAATTAAACTATTTCCAAACTAGAAATAATTTAGATTTAAAAAGTATCACATGGGTAAAATAAATTTATAAAGACTTAAGAGGCAAAGATTTGGGGAAAAGTTCATAACAGGATTTCATTAATAACACTAAAATTAAAAAGTCACTTTGTTTTAGACTTATGGTCACATAGGAAGGAAATGAAAAGATGTCTTTTTCTGAGAAAAAACCTTGAGCAAATTCATAAGCTTTTCACATTTAAATATCATTGATTAAGAGGACTATAAAACTGAGTGCAGCACTTTGTTAAGTACAAACACATTTGTCTTGTCTAAGAAGTAGTGATTTTGTAATAATCACTGAAAAATTTATGCCTCTCTAGTCTGAAAATAGAGATTAGTTCCATTTTGGAAATTACCTTGATTTATGTTGATTACACACTCCACTAAAGCAAGAAATAAGGCTGTTAAATATTTACCTAATTAGTGCTCTGTCGCTGGACTTTAGGACCGATACTCTGTGTGTCTTCCTCCTGACTAGGACGTTTCCCACTGCTGAGACCAGTGCCCATGGAGCTTCTTCCTACACATTCAAAAAATATGTGTTTAAAATAGGAAAGGTGAAAAGAACAGTATACTCAAATGCTTTATTCCTTTTTAATCCTCACCTGAGGATAACCTCCGTTGATTTGAGAGAGAGAGAAAGGTAGAGAGAGAGAGAGAAACATCCATCAGCTGCCTCCTATATTTGCCCTGACTGGTATCAAACCCACAACCAGATATGTGCCTTGACCAGGAATTGAACCTTCTTGGTGCATGGGATGACAACCAACTGAGCCACCTGGCTGGGCTCAAATGCTTTATTCTTACCTTGCTTTAATAAGTGAGTTTGCTGACTGTCTCCATAAGCACAATGTAAAATACCACTCCCTTGAGTGCAACCTGTTAGTATTTAGAACACAGTAAATTACTTCAAATAAATTCTAAGTTGTATGTATTAAGACTACAAATCCAATTCTTAGTTTTTGTATTTGAGGTCATGTATGCTTTTGAAGACTAAACCTCAACCCTTCACATGATCCAAAAATCACAAGACCAATCAGGAAAATTTAAACTTAGGGTCATAAAAATATTAACTGTCCAAAGGCAAAATCACAGATAATCATTTTTGAAGAAACATTTCTTCACTGGATGACAACAGAAACTTGACCATAAAAGCAAAACAGGGCAGCAGTGAGACAGATATACATCCTTCCTTCACTTCTTGACCCTCTATTCCACACTCCTCCCTCAGTTACTGTCTAAATCATGTGTTCTCAGAGACCCTTCCTTATAAGGGCCTGTCAGATGACAGTTAGACAATTCAAATCACACAAGGAGGGGACACAGACAATGTGGCAGTTACTTAGCTTGAGCAATTATATTAACCCCTCTAAAAAGAAACAAAGTTACAGGATAATAGATTTGACTCAGAAAAGTAGTTTCTACAGAAAGATTTTTGTGTGTCCAGATTATGGAAAAATACAAGCACTCTAGTCCCTAAAGAGGTCACTTTATGGCCTGAACAAGACAATCTACTACTTTTTATTATAACTTCATGCTCATCAAGTTCTTCTGAATAAAAAAAATTGGCTTTTTAGGTATTCAAAATTGGAAAAGTAGATGCCCTGATCAGAGATGAGGCCTTCTATCACTGAAAACTGGTATCTCCACCATAAATTAATAATGTAGTGTTCCCTGTTGATATTTTAATTTACATGATTTAAAAATTTCTAGTCTGTCATTCACAAAATGGTGACTTCTACACTGAAAGCATTCAGTTTTTGAACTTGTAAGGCTGAAAGTTAGACTTTAGACTATAGCAAATTCACCCTAAATGGTGCTACTCCTGGTCTTACCATCAGCAGGGGTTCCCCTAATGGTGATGCTCATTGTCGAGCATTACTGTACAACACTATTTAAAACTTCACACAATATGAAAGTACTTAATTCCAGTGAACTGTATACTAAAACGGTTAAAATGCTATATTATGTTATGTAAATTTACAATTAAAAAAGCTTTAACCAATACATTTTTAATTGTCATATTTACTCATACATTATACATGTGTTAAGGGTCCATTCATGCTAGAGACTATACCAGGTACTAGGACTACAAATATTACTAAGACATGAGTGAGGTCTGTCTTCAAGGGGTTCACAGTCAAGTAGGAGGAGATAGATACATAAAATCACTAAGTACAAAGAGTGTTATTTAGGTTGGGATGGAAGTTGGTTCAGGATACTGTGGGGATACTGAGGAAGAAAAGGTCAATTTTACTGAAAGATTCACAGAGGTGGCCTGTAGGCAAAGTCATAAACTAGTCACCTTGGTTTCATTTTCTCAACTTCATCAATTTTATTCCTCTTGCAGTACTAAGATAAATGAAAATAATCTCATTAACAAAATATTGAGTGAAAGCAGCCAGACACAAAAAGGAATACAAACTATAATTCTATCAAGTTAAAAAAAATGGGCAAAACTAGTATTAGAAATCAGGAAAGTGATTACCTTTTGGGAAGAGGGGGTAAATTAATATTACTCAATAAATATATTAGAATTTTTCTTAACATGGGATTTTATTTCCTTAGAGAGCTAAGTGATGAGCAGGCACTTAGTATCTTCCTGAGTCTCTACGTTCAAGAATACCTCTGTTGCCTATAACTTCCCCATAAAAATATAGTAAATTATATTTTCATGAGAATAGCTGTATAAGAGACAATGACTAGAGAACAGAGCTTTGCTGATCAACTGGCTAGGACTAGTACAGTCACTTACAAATATCACAAATCCCCATATTTGTGTATCTTCAGACATTATAGCAGTTTAATTTCAAATGCCAAGATTATACAAGATGAAAATCTTATAGTGAAAGGAACTTTTTAAAAAAACGTATTTCTTGTTTTAAAAAAATGTTTCAGCACTGGCCAGTTTGGCTCAGCAGTTGCAGCGGTTCTCAACATGTGGGTCACGACCCCTTTGGGGGTCGAACGACCCTTTCAGAGGGGTCGCCTAAGACATTACAGTAGCAAAATTAGTTATGAAGTAGCAACGAAAATAATTTTATGGTTGGGGTCACCACAACATGAGGAACTGTATTAAAGGGTCACGGCACTAGGAAGGTTGAGAACCAGTGGTAAGAGCATTGGCCCGCAAACCAGAGCCGAGGGTTCGATTCCAGTCAAGGGCACATACCTTTGTTGCGATTCAGTCCCTGGCTCTGGTCGGGGTCATGTGGGAGGCAACCAATCGATGTCTCTCTCTCACACTGATGTCGTCCCCCCTCCCCTGCCCCACTTTATCTGAAGATAAATGGAAAAAGATCCTCAGGTGAGGACTAAAAAAAAAAAAGTTTCCTAAGGGCAAAAAGTTTATATAATCACTATCAATAGGACCAAAAGGATTTACCACTTATAAAATTCTAAAATAAACATACTAGGGGAGAAAACTGCATAGAAAAGATATTCAAAGGAAATACACCAAAATTTTAATTACTGTCTCTATTGGATAGAATTGTAATTTTATTGTTCTTTTCTACTTTTCCGAATTTTCTAAATTCTCTATATTAAATAGTGGTTTTTAAGCAGTTTTGAAGTGTAACTGATATACCATAAAACTCACCTGTTTTATGTGTACGATTCAATAATTTTTAGTAAATTTACAGAGCTGTGTAACCATTACCCTGAAGAGATCCCTCATGCCAATTTGCATTCGTTCTCCATTCCTACCTCTAAACTAAAGTAACCACTAATCTACCTGGTCTCTTTTAAAGACATGCCTTTTCTGGATAGTTAATATAAATGGAATTAGGCAATATGTGGTCTTTTGTGTCTGGCTTCTTTTCTTTAACTCAACATAATATTTTTGAGGTTTAAGTTGCAGTATGTATCAGCATTTTGTTTCTTTTTATGAATTAATATTCCATTGTATGGGTGTACCACATGTTGACTATCATGAATAAGGCTATCATAAGCATTGACATATAAGTCTTTGTGTAGACATATATTTTCATTTCTTTTGGATACTTAGGAATGGAATTTCTGGGTTGTATGTTAAATTTATGTTTAGTTTTTAAGAAACTGCCAAAACTGTTTTTCAAAATGGCTGTACCATTTTATACCCCACCTCTCAGCAATGCATGAGGGTTCTACTCTCTTCATATCCTCTACAACACTTGTTACTGTCTTTTTCATTCTAACCACTTCAATGGGCACAGGGTGACCAACTCATCTCAGTTTGTCCAGGATTCTTGAAGTGTTAGCAATGAAAGTCCTGTGCCCCTCAAAACCCCTCAATCCCAGGCAATCAGTGATAACCCTAAGTGGGTATGAAGTACTAGCTATTAGTACATTTTAATTTGAACTTCTCCTATGACTAATAATGCCAAACAGGTATTCTATAATAAAAAATAAATAAACTAAAAGTTAAATAAAAACTGTGATTTATTTTATTAAGAAAAATACTTAAAGACATATATGTATGTATAGTTTATTCATTTCATTAGCACAAAAAATATATATATAAAGAGGAGAAAGAAAATGCAATTTTTGCTGCAGAGATTAAGAATTTCCCAGTCATGTAAAAATCTAAGAATATTTATAAAAATCTTGCCCTTTGATATGCCTTGTGAGACACTGTAAAATAAAAGTCTACAAACAGTATAAGTATAGGACATAAAGTGATATGCTTCAGAAGTATGTAAGTCCTTTCAAATGGAGCAGAAGCCTGAGGGGAGAAATGCTTAACAACATAGTCCAAGTCCTAGGGATATTTCCACAACCGTTCCTGCTTCCAGATCTGCAGTGCTCTCCTCCATCTGCCTACTCAAATGCTACCCACCCATCATCTTCCTAGAAAACTTTCTTATTTCCAGCATTTCTCAATAATCTCTCCCTTTTGGTGGAGGCAGCATCGTACAATTTATCACTTTTTTTTTCATTTGTTTTTTCTTCCCTTCAATACCCCTATTTAGACTGTAAGCTCACTGGAGCTTTTATGTCTTCCATGTCTTTTGAAAATCTCACAGCACCTAGCTACAAAGTGTATTACAGGCAAATACCAGATTAGAGTACATTTAAGATTTGTTAATCTTTTTATGTCTTAAAATATGTTTTTATATATTTGGGAAGCAAAATTATTCCAATTTACCTTGTTACCATGATTTGTTTTTGTAGGTAACTCCAAATAATAAATATAGATTTGAGTTGACTAAGAAACAGTATGCACCATCATAATTACCCATTAGCCAGGCACCTGGGGCTGTTGCTTCCCACCCCTCTGCTACCTGCCTGTTATCTTAGTGCTTCCCAGAACTTGTGTCCCTCAGCCTCATGCCTGGGCAGAAAAGCAGGCTATGAACCAAACAAAAGATCCCACAGAACTTTTGATGATACTTTATTGACACCTTATCAGTTTATTTCAAATTGTTAGGAGACTCTAAGAAAGAACATATCTGAAGTATACTGTCATTGGCAATTATTTGACTGCCAAGTAAAACACATTCCAGTAATACGGTATTTTATCTTATAAACACTACATATGGCATTACATTTGCAGCAGAGGCCCAGTGATACAGGAAAGAGTAAGAACTTTAGGATTAATCAGACTTGGATCTGAATCTTAGCTCAACTACTTACTAACTGTGGGATCTTGGTTAAATGATCAAACCTTCTAGGCTTATTTCCCCAGTCATAAAATAAGAATCCCATCGCCACCTCCCTGGGTTACCATGAGAATGTGGCAAAAAATTCCTTGTTCGGAAACAAAGTAGGTAGTTAAAATGTGAGTGCCTTTGTCCTTTCTCCCCAAGCTAATTGTTGGAGAATAAAATAAATGCTTTCTCTCAAAAGGATGTAGGATCTTTCAGAATTCAGAAAGGTTCAATTAAAAAAAAAAAAGTTTTACTTTTAATAACAATTTTGAACATCTGAATTAAAAAAAAAAAAGATCATTTCTCAAATGCTGCCTTGTTTTTAGTAAAATTAAGCAGCTTCATGCTATTTTTGGTTCGAACCTTTGAAAACTGATATAATGATTCAAACTGCAAATACATACTGACGTCCTGACATTATTAACATTACCTATATTAAGAATATATGTGGCACCCTAGCTGGGTGGCTCAGTTGGTAAGAGTATCATCCCATACACCAAAAGATATTTCTCTCTCACATTGATGTTTCTCTTTCTCTCCCTTCCTCTCTCTCTAAAAATCAATAAATGTCTCAAGTGAGGATTAAAAAAAAAAAAAAAAAAGAATATATGTGGCAACTAAATATATATCATACCAGAAATCCATTACAGACCAGACTTTGTCAGGAAAAACTCATGTGCAAAGAACTAAAGGTCTATGATAAATTTTTTGGCCATGTTCACAGGGCCACTAGCCTTATAGCTTATATATACCTAAAGTTAGTGAAAAATGAGCTTTCTGAAAATATGATATTTGAGTTTTATTCTATTCTTAAATTGCTCTCCTTATTCAGTTTGCAAGAAGATCTTTACTTTGACCCAAACTCTACTACATGTAAGGATGCTTTTTATCTCTTAAATGTCACTAATAGAGTTAGGGTGTGTATTGCATGTATGTGTATACATATGTATGCATATGTACACAAAACTATATGCATTTTAAAGAAAGATTTTAAAATATTATAGTGAGGTTTAATAAACAATATATTTGATTATTAATCTCTTAATATTAAGTACAGACATTTCCTTTTCACTTACTTCCACTGTTGCTACAGCCTGCGATATTTTCTCCAGGAGAATACCCCATGAGGCCTCCATTCCCATTAGGATTAGAAGGCACTGATGCAAGAAGACCTACAGAGAAAAAATTTCTTATTAAATTATGATCAAGATCAATCAAGGATAGGTACATAAATAGCTGCCAAAGAAGCAAACCAGAGGCAGTTACTGACATACCTAGTCCTCTATATCGTGAAAGCTGCTGGTAGATCTGTTTCATCCTCTCAATATTCAAACGGCTCGCCTCAGCATGGTTCACCATTGGTTTAGGATAATTAACTCCTATCAAACATTTGGCTACCTTTTGGATACCTTCTGGTGCATTCCAGGGATCATAGATATATTTTGCAGGGAAGCCCCTTAGGACAGGCAAATATCGCCTTTTGGGAGAAGGGAGACAAATTATTAATAAAATTAACCATAAGCATATTGTAACAAATTATTTATTAGCTATGAATGACCAATATCCAATTAGCACCATTTAAATGATTTGTTTACCCTTTTCCTCATCATGAGTGAGGTAAACTTAAAGTGTTGATTAAAAATGAAAAGCTCTTCCTGGATTAGTTATTCCAAACTGAATAATAATCGATCACCCTTGATTTACCTGATATAGTCTCCATTGGGATCTGTTCGCCTACCAAAACCAACAGGGCAATAGCAGTGAAAAAACTGTTGAAAAAAGGAACTACAAGACAGCCACATCCAACTTCCAGCATTTATGCTCCAATCTGCATCAAGCAATAATTCTTCAAATACCTTCAGAAGTAATAGTAAGCAATTAGTTTGCATACACATACTTCTAAAAAGCAAGCATTTTCCAGGTCTCTACAGATCAAAAGTCAAGACAAAAAAAATCTAGCACAGAACTGTAAAATTAAACATTCCAAAGTTAGCTTCTTTGTCTCTGTTTTGTTCCACAGTGAGTTATTTTAGGAAAAGTAGCATATCAGTAATATAAGTGGATTTCTGAATAGAATTTACCTTTCTAGTCTTTGCAGTGTTACGTGAAAGAAGGGTGAAAAATTATTCAAGTCACTGATTTAAAAGGAATATGAGATTAAAAAATGGAAGAAAAATAAAAGCAGTAAACATTTTCAGGAAAACAAAAATGCTACCAAATACATCCCCAACAGAGACTTAGAAGCTTGGTACACTGGCCTACCTAAAGAGAGTATCCAAATATAAACGACCTTTGAAAATGCACTGGCATTATAGAGTTTAAATTTGAAATTTCTTGACCCAAGAGGAAAACAGAATTAAAATAAATTATTTTAAATACATTCATGAAGTATGTGCTACAGATCTACCTCATGTAAACTTTGTACTAGGAAATATAACAGATGCAAAAAAAGGATTAGAAATGGTCCTTGGAGAGGGGAAATTATGATATAAGTAGGAAGGTAAAACATATACATAAGTCCTGTTATGTATAACCCCAAGATAATGCTACAAAATATAGTATGTTTCATTTTACATAATAAATGTATTACTAAATAGCTGTAATGTTGAAGTAAAGTGATATATACTTTTAAATGTATACTATGAATTATTTCTAAAAACTTTTGGGTGAATACTTTCTGTGACAGAAATGATCACCTATAAGTATGTGGATGCAATGAAGTCCAGAGTGTTAAATTTTATACTTCCCTTGATGGCTAGGCTGGTTTAGCCAAAGAAATGATGTGAAATTAACTGAACCAGTTTTTGCCATATCTCCTGTCTCATTACACCATTCAGGTCTCCAAAAGTATGACTGTACTGTGGGAATTAAATTATGTGACCACTGAAAAACTAGACTATAAATGAATAAACGTAATAGACAACATCTAGAAAATGTTTTAGTAAAGTCTAGAGTCCTACAAAATAAGACATGCTATATTAGAGCACTCACCTTCATTCCTTCTTCCCAACTAATCCACAGGTCACCTCGTGTAACGAAGCAAGCAACTGCATGTCTGGCCAAATGGTGAATCCATCCCTCCTGACGAAGCTGTGTCATGATGGCATCAATCCATGGAAAACCTGTCCGGCCTTCTGCCCATTTTGCTAAAGCCTCAGGATTCTTATCCCAAGGAATCTGAACACAGATGGGGTTTCCTTCCATTTTATCAAAGCGAGGATTATTTGTTGCTGCTGTATAGAAAAATTCACGCCATAGTAGTTGCCCATAAAGAGAAAGGGGAGGGGAACTGTTCTTTTTTACCTAAGATTAAATAGTAAAGATGTATTATAAGCAATTTTTTTAAAAAGGACTTTGAAAAATAAAAAATCCAATTTTAGTTAATACCTTTTTGTAGAGATCTGTTAGTTTGAAGTAAAACAGTCGACATGACAAACAACCAAATCGGAGGTAAGGACTGAGTCCAGTAGGGCTAGCAAGAAGGGAATTGGCATTCATCCGAGGTCTTTCAAAGTTAGCCACCCAAGCCTGAAAACACAGAGAGAATTACCCTAACTTTTCCATTTTAAAGAAGTGTTTAAGATTTAGATTTTTAAAAATTGTTACATAGTGCTTGGGGAATAACATCTTATTATTCCAGCCATAAATAACATGTTTTAATAGAAAACAAGGAATAATAAAAGTAAGCTTTTTTTTCATCCTCACCTGAGGATATTTTTTTCATTGATATTTACAGAGAGTATAAGAGAAGGAGGGAGAGAGGGAGAGAGAGAAACATCAATGTGAGAGCAACACTTCGACTGGTTGCCCCAGGGATCAAACCTGCAACCCTTTGGTCAGCAAGCCGATGTTCTAACCACTGACCCACACTGGCCAGGGCTAAGCAGCATTTTGTTGTTGTTTCTGCCATCCTCATGTAGCATATACTCACATGAAATAAATTACCTTCAAATTCCTAAAACAAAGCTGAGAGCACCTTCCACCTGTCTCTTTGACACTGAAGTAAAGATGAAATAGAAGAACTCTACCCTAGCTTCAAAGTTATGGTCACCAGATACCAACTTATAAAAAAAATAGAAGAGGTAGTGTTGATAATAGCTAAAGAAGAAATAAACCAAAGAGGGAAAAGCTATTTAAATAAAGAAATAGCTGTTAATTTTCAATTAGGTTTATGCTACTTCAAATATTTCTCTTAATCCTTTTTCAATAGTCTATGTTTTGTTTTTAAGAAAGAGTGAAATTATTTTTAAAATGCCAGTTTGAAAATATGTGCATGATCTATATTATCATACTTTTCTTTCCAGATGCCTTTCCAAACGTGTAAGTGCTTCAGTTTCTCCACCTGGCCATACTGCAGAGGATAAGCCATCTGTATCAAAACCTAAAAAAAAAAATTCTTCTGTAACATAAGTAATTTTTATTTAACCACAACAATTACAAGAAAAAAATTACTTTGCAGAAAAATTATGATAGCAGCATAAAAATAAATTGATGACCCTGGATAGATCTTCACATATAGAAGATATAACGTTCTCTATTCCTTAAAATGCATATTTTAAGGTGATAACAGATAGGTCACATATTTTATTTTTATTTATATATTTTTAAATATTTGTATTGATTTTGAGAGAGAGAGGAAAGGAAAGAGAGAGAAATAATTATTGGCTGCCTCCCTCCTGCATGCCCCCTACTGGGGATCAAGCCCAGAACCCGGGCATGTGCCCTGAACTGGCAATCGTTCAGTGCACGGACAGTGCTCAACCAACTGAGTCACACTGGCCAAGGTGATCACATCTTTTAGAACACAAAAATAATGCACAGATTTATCACTTCTTAGTTTGAGTTTCTTTTATTTTTTTCTCCTATCTTTCTTTCTCTCCTAGTGCAAAATACATGTCAAATCAGAAACAGGATTTTCTGAGTGATTTATTAGCTTGTACATTCCACCTTCTTACCATTTGTACTCACCTAGTTCTTCTAGTGAAGGGACTCCATATTTCTCATCATGGTCATCAGACAGAGGAGTTGTGCACTTTTCTATCACGTCTGAAGTAATTGTTTCTACTGGTATCTCTAGTGGCTCCATTTTGCTGACGAGAGTCTGGAATCTTTTATAAGTAAGAGGTGGTTGTCCACCATTGAGTTCTATGATCCTATTATAAAAGTTAGTAAAATCCAGTTAGTATAAAAAAATGACAATCTATTTTGATTGATAAGTTCTGAAAAAGCTTAAAATCAGAAAATAGATAAAGTTAATTACTTGAATTCTAGGAGAATGACTAGAAAACGTGTAAAAAAATGGATAATGAATCACCCTGGCCGGTTTGGCTCAGCGGTTAGAATGTTGGCCTGTGGACCAATGAGTTGCAGGTTCGATTCTGATCAAGGGCACGTACCTCGGTTGAGGTTCGTCCCTGGCCCTGGTCAGGGTCACACAGGAGGCAACCAGTCAACGTGTCCCTCCCATGTTGTTTCTCTCTCTCCCTCCCTCCAACTCTATCTGAAGATAAATGGGAAAATGTCCTTGGGTGAGGATTAAAGAAAAAAAAAAGGTTACTGAATTTAAAAATAATAGTTTTCATTTTCTAGACATCTGCTAGTTGTCAAGAATATACAGCATGCAAGTACCAAAACGTTTAAGACAAAGGGTATTAAGCACCTATGAGTGAAAAAAAAAAAAGAGGCTAAATTAGCCTGAAGGCAATAACATAAAAATATAAAATTGTAAAAACATATTTTAACTCAGCTCCAAGAAGAAATGTAAAAACATTTAACTCAGCTCAAGGAATCTCTTAACCATCAAAAAAAATTAAACCAGGCCAATATTTTATCAGGGAGCAAACAAGTCTCATTAATTAGGATTTTATATTACTGTAGTGACAATCACTTGCTATTTTTTGTTCTCATGCTTTGATTAAAAATGTTACCATATCTATTTTATGTACATATTTTATGTATCTTTATGTAGTAAACATAAAGTATACTTCTGATCACTAATTGCTTCAATCAAATTGTACTAAAAGGAAAGATTAGGCTTTGCCAATGGTAGTTTGAACTAGACACTATTTGGGAATAACTTTTTTTTCTTTTTCATTATGGCCATTTGCTTAGCATTTAGCCTTAATAAAGAATTACTGATAAAATCCAATTCCATCATTTTATGGCCAGAAACTGAAGCCTACCAAGAGAGTCAAATTAGTCAAGGTCACATAGCTAATAAATAGCAAATCAAGGTTTTCTTAATCCAAATACAGTACATTTTTCATTATGCCACATAGTATGTATCAATTATATATACAAGACATAATCACACAAAAAAAACAAAACTATCCTCTCTGAATTTAGTAATTTTGCTTTGCTGTAATACTTTGAGTTTGTACTTAAGGTTGTAATAAAATGTGTCCATTATAATGATACAGCAATAGCACTACTGTTAATTATATAATAGAAACAAAGTAAAAACTTTAGAAAAATGTTTTCTATATGTTACGTTGTTTTATGATGAATTATACATAATTAATATTCACATTCAATCCGATAAACAATTCAATTTTATGTATAACACTGAGTCTTCCACTTAGAAGCAACTGTTCTTATCCTGTTTTGCCTCTTTCTTGTATCAGCTTCCTAACATTAAGAAAATTGGTAAATTAGAAGGCAAGTTTATTATCAGAGGATATATGACTTCTGGCTAAATATCAAATAAGACCCTTGCTGAATCAAGTCACAATTTTTATACACTTGGAAAAAGTAGAATAAAATGAACTAGTTTGTACTTATAAGTTAACTTAAAAAGTAAAATAATTTAAAACGTAAATTATGAAAATTTAATACTTGTAAGTATGTATAACAGTATGCCAAAGGTTCATTAAGTTAATGAATCTTATGAACCTTCAAAACTCATAGCATATGACACTTCCTAAATTTAAACTTGACCATGGACTCTTTGTTCGACAAAGCATCACTAAAGACTGGTTATTTCAAAAAACACACTTTGAGAAATATAATACTATGACATTGTTCAGAGGACTAGAGCTACATGAAATAGTAATTTGCATCTAGATTTAAAATCTAGATAGACAAGATATACACACATGAAGTGTGTATAACTTAAGATAATCATACAAAATATATCAAAATAGTTTATGCCTATGTTATCAAATAAACTATAAAATGAATATTGCTAAGAGTCCAGAAAGATAAGACTAACAAACAGTAGGCTGAGTTATAACAGTCAAGGGGAATTTTTATACTCTTAATATTTTGAAACTAAAATTCTGAGTATTTTGATTTTAAGCACTATGACTAAGTCTGGTATCTGTCACTGGGTAAGTAAATCACAGCAGTTTTGCTAAGGGTTTAATATATATTTATTTAGTTCTCCCACAATTCTATTATATATATGTTATTTCCATATATATACCCCACAGGTTAAAATTTGTCTGTGTACTTACTAATACTTAACTGTACATTTAAAAATGGTTAAGATAACAAATATTATATTATGTATATTTTACTATAATAAAAAAAGAAAAAATTACTTACTTGTCTAGGTCATATAATGTATGTGAAATTCGTACAATTACTTCTACTCCGGCTTCAGTAGCCAGTTTTTTAATAGCTGCATCTCGTTCCTTTCCAAAGGGCTCAGAATCATATTCAATTGAAAGTTTAGTAATGTTCCATTCCTAAAATAAGATAAAGAAGCAAAATTTACACAAATTTTAAAATAGTTTTTCTATTATAACAATGGAGGCTGGGAAAAAGTGTAAAGCTCATGATTTGCATATCAAATGATTCAACATACATTAAACTTTAAATATGCAGCAAGAAAATGTATAATTTATAAATTCAAAAATATATAAATAAGAAATGTATGTTCCCTGGACATCAAGCATTGTGCTAGGTATCAGACAATATAGCAATATGCTTAAAACCAGCTTCCTAAATGTGTTTGTATAGTACTTTACTTTTTCAAGTAATTTATACTTTATCTCACTTGTTACTCCAAACAACCCCTCAGGGTTTGGCACTTTGGTTAGTATATCCATTTTGCAGACATGGTTATTTTAATAATTAAGGGACTTGCTCAACTTCACAGAGCACAAGAATGCCTATTACTTCTATGAGTTGGTCTTTAATAAACCTTTGATACCTAATATGGTATAAGCTGCTTTGCTGAGGTACTCTGTTAACTGGAAAATATGGAGAGAATAATAATAGCAGCTATTTATTGAATATCAAGTGCTATATTAAAAAGTTCTGCACATCTCCTTATGGTGATTCTCACTGAGGAGACTGAGACTTCAGGGAATTAAGTGATTTCCCAGAGGGGTAGTAAAGTTGTGGTTTTTTTTTTAATTCTAAAATTTACTCTGATATACCTTACAAAGAAAAAAAATCATCTCTAATTCTACCATTATTTAACTGACTATACAGTAACATACTGTAATTCTCCAAACCTGTACAGATTAGACAAGGGCTGTCATCAATGGTGTGCTTTTTTTTTTTTTTTAATTGTTATTATAAACCTTGCATTGCACATCTTGATCTTTATATATACAACTTTAAAAAAACATTTTTTTTCTTGCATTTATTTTCAGAGAGAGAGAGAGGGAGAGAGAGAGAAACATCGACATGAGAGAGACACATCGAGTGGCTGCCACCCACACAACCCTAACCAGGGCCGGGGACAAACTGCAGGTATGTGCCCTTAGCGGGAACCGAACCCTGGTCTCTCTGGACCACAAGCCAACGCTCTAGCTGCTGAGCCAAACCAGCCAGGGCTTTATGCATACATCTTAAACACTTTGGGGCATCTGTTCTACTTTTTCTAGAAATAATTCCTTGAAAAACAATTAATGGATAAGATATTCACACTTAAATATTCAATACATACTGTCAAACTGTTAACCAGTTATACTGTACCAAGTTATACTTTCATCAGTAGTAAACCAGTGTTTACTCCCCATACATACCATAGTGGTGCAACTAATACATACACACAGTATACAAAGAAAAATAATATCTCATTTAAAATATTTTCCTTTCTTGAAAGTCTTGAAGAATTCCTACTAACCTTTCAATAGCTGCTCCCTTTGAAGTGTAGAATTTAGGGAGTGTAAATAATATAATTATTTTTATTTTACAGACTGTTGTATTGTTCAGGTTTGTTAGTACAATCATGTACTGCTTTTGAAATTTAAAAATCAAATTAAAATAAGGCCCTGATGGTTTAGTTCAGCAGTTAGAGCGTCTGCCCAAGGACCGAAGGGTTGCAAGTTTGATCCCTGGCCCCGCTCAGGGTCCTGTGGGAGGCAACCAATCTATATGTCTCTCTCACATTGACGTCCCCCCCTTCACTCTACCTAAAAATCAATGGAAAAATAGCCTCAGGTGAGGATTACCATAAAAACAAACAAAAAATTAAAATAAGAAAAGGAAAACATTACATTTGTTTTACAATACAGTAGTAGTCAGAAAACACAGAATCGAAAGTCCTGAGTTCAAAGAATGATTCTACTAATTGGGCAAACTGCTAAACTCTCCACATCTGCTTCCTTATCTAAAAAGTAAATAAGCCCTGGCCGGTTTGGCTCAGCAGTTAGAGTGCTGGCCCATGGACCAGAGAGTCCCAGGTTCAGTTCTGACTAAGGGCACATACCTCGGTTGCGGTTTGTTCCCGGCCCCGGTTGGGGTCGTGTGGGTGGCAGCCAGTCGATGTATCTCTCTCACATTGATGTTTCTCTCTCTCTCTTCTTCCCTCTCTATCTGAAGATAAATGCAAAAGTGTCCTCAGGTGAGGATAAAAAATAAAATAAAAAGTGAATAAAATGTAAGCAAAGTATTTAAAGTGTACTTAGCACATAAGCACTGTGTGTTTGCTATAGTAAAATGAAAAAAAACAACAAAAAAAATGTTATGAGGTTGCTGAAAGATTAAATGAGATGATGTCTGCAAACTGTTTAGCACACAGAGTATATAGTAAGACCTTAATGAATAATAGTTATTATTATTACTAGCCATTTGTATATTTCTCTTTCTGCAAGTAGCAGCTTATGTTTGCTTGGTTTTCCATTGTAGTTAATTTTTCTCTTATGGATTTTTAAGAGTTCCTTACATTTTAATGACAGCAACCTTTCTGTCACATATATTTTATAAATAATAGTTTGCACTTTATTCTATAATTTTTTTTGACAAAAGTCTTTTAATTTCTAGAAAGTAAATGTTGAGTGTGAGATGAGTCAATAACATCCCCTCGCTTCTATCCCTTTTTGATAAAGGAAGGGAACATAAGTCAGAGAGCTAGAGATTAAAATATAGACCAGCCCTGGCCAGTTTGGCTCAGCAACTGGAGCGTTGGCCAGTGGACCAAAGAGTTGTGGGTACGATTTCAGTCAGGGCACGTGCCTTGGCTGCAGTTCATCCCTGGTCCTGGTCTGGGTCATGTGGGAGGCAACCAGTCAATGTGTCTCTCTTACATCTATGTTTCTCTCTCTCTCTCTCTACCTGAAGATAAATAGAAAAATATCCTTGGGTAAGGATTAATAAAAATAAAAATAAAAAATAAAATAAAATATATACCATATTTCTAGTAAAGGTGAACTGGAGAAAAGATATTAGGTGTAAGGGTAGGTAAGCCTGTTAATATTTGACCCCTGAATTAAACAGATTTATCTACTCAATGATAAGCAGCACCTTCCCTGCAGTATGGGTTGCCCCTATAAAATTTATCACATGGAAGAATAGAACAGGATGTGCTCTCTGCAACTGAAGAGGAAAAAAGGTGTAATCTGAGCTATACTAGTCCTGGTCCTTCTACTAAACTCAACAATGAAATCATTCAATTCTTCCCTGGGGAAACAATAGTGAACAACATCTCTCCACCAAAAAAAAAAAAAAGTTAGGAAAGAAAAGGTTCCCAAACATCAAATGTATTCATTCATATGCCAAATATTTACTATAATTCTTATTACAGGCCAGATACTATGCTAGGTCCTACTATAATTCTTATTACAGGCCAGATACTATGCTAGGTCCCTCCCTCGTAGAGCTTACTGAGGAAGAATGGTAATACAGAGTTAAATAAATAAGTTAATATATAATTACCACTAGGAAAAAATGAAATGCTATGATAGAGTATATGGGGATGAGGGTGACCTGCTAAACTCATTCTACTTTTTTTCTTTCCTAATTATAGTGGCTAGACGTTCAGTGACTGATGGGAACGAGTATCTGTACTTTGTTCCCTATCGTAGGTGGAAAGCATTCAGTGTTCCATCATTAAGTATGATGTAAAAGGGGTGTTGAATTCTGTAAGATACTTTTTCTTCATCTATTGAGATAATCACAATGTATTTTCCTTTATTCTATTAAGAGGATGGATTATGTTGATTTTTATGATATTGAACCAACTTTGTATTCCTGGGATAAACCTCATTGATCAAGATGATGTATTATTTAAAAGTACTGCTAAAATCAATTTGGTAATATTGTTAAGGATATCTGAGTATATGTTTATGGGGGACACTCGGCTATACTTTTTCTTAAAATTTCTTCATCAGGTTTTGGTATCAGTTATGTTGGCCTTATGAACCAAGTTGGGAAGTGTTCCCAACATTGTCCTCTATTTTCTGAAACAGTGTTATAATACTGGTATTACTGTATTTCTTCATGTGATAGAATTCACAAGTAAAGTTATCTTGGGCCTAAAGTTTTATTTATGGGAAGGTTTTTAAATTACAAATTCAATATTGTGTTTCCATTATAATTCAGTTATAAATATTTGCTGTTCTCTTGCTATTCATTTCAATTTAATTCTATTGGAGTCAGAGAATATATTCGGTAAGATTTCAATCTTCTGAAATTTATTGATACTTGTTTTGTGGCTGAGTGCATGGTCTATCTTAGTGAATGTTTCATATACACTAGAAAAGAATATGTATTCCTCTGTTCTTGGGCATAGTGTTCTACAAGTATTAGTTATAGCAAACTGATTGATAGTGTTATTCATATCATCTATATCTTCATTAATTTTTGTATCTTTTTTTTTTAACCCTCACCCGAGGATATTTTTCCATTGATTTTCAGATAGAGTGGGAGGGCGGGAGGGAGAGAGACAGAAACATCGATGTGAGAGAGACATATTGATTAGTTGCATCCCACATGAGCCCAAACAAGGCTGGGGATCAAACCGCAGCCGAGGTACATGCCCTTGACTGGAATTGAACCCATGACTCTGGTTCACAAGCTGACACTCTAACTGTTGAGCCAAACCAGCCAGGGCAATTTTTGTATCTTCTATCAATAACTGAGAGGTGTAAAAATCACTAACTTTGGATTATGAATATATCTGTTTCTCCCTAGAGTTTTTACCAGTTTGAGATTCATGTATCTTTTTGCTGTTAGTAGGTACATACACATTTATGATGGTTATATCTTCTTGAAGTGAGACTTTACTCTGCATCTCTGATAATTTTGTCTTGCATTCTACTTCTCTATGCTTACTGTTTACAAAGTACATATTTTTCAGTATTTTTTATTCAAAATATATTTCTTTATATTTCCTAAGTGTCTTCTCTAATTAACATATAGGTGATTCTTGCTTATTTTTTATCCAGTCAACCTGTGTCTTTTAAATGGAGAGCTTAAAGTAGACCATTTACATTTAATATAATTATTGATATAG